TCTGTAGAATTCCAGAACGTTTTTCATTGCTTGAGTTTTTCAGTTTGTAGAATTCCAGAACCGTTCCATTTTCATTTCCTACATTGTTTTCTTCCATTAACCCATAGCATTCCAGTCATGAATCCATCCAGCTCTTCAGAATAGAATCCGCAAACACAACAAAAACTTGTAAGACCATCTATTCGTGGACAAAGTTTTGATGATAAGCCACTATGGAATCATGTCAAGGTTCTGGGTACAGCAGTACGTGGAGGAGGAAATCGCACTTGGAGTTGCAACTACTGCAGCAAGAAAGTGACCGGATCCTATACAAAAGTGAAGGCTCATTTGCTAAAACTCTCCAATCGTGGGGTTCAACTTTGCAAGGCTGTAACTGATGTTATACTACGAGAGATCACGAAGGAACACGAGCAAGCTGAATGGAAAAAATCACAGCATGAGTACAACGAAAGGAAAAAGGCAGAATATGTTTCGTTACCAAGTGGTTCTGATTTATTGCAGCAGAAAAGGAAAAAAAGAGGAGAACTTGGACCTCTAGAAAAGACATTCAACATGGCGCAAAGGGACACGACTATATATAATGCATTTATATTAACTTGCAACCTCATTGTTTCCTTCAACATTTGCTTTTGACAGGAAACCATATTGTGGTTGTGAAAACCTGCAAAATAATGTTGGACGCGCATCAGGCTTTGTTAGAAGTCACTTGTGAGCATATATAGTTTTCACTTTTTTTATTAAATTAAAGATAAATAAGTTGAACAAAACATGTAGTATTTGTTCCATATAAGAACAAATTATAACTATGATTTGACTGATTTTTTACAAAAAAAAAAAAAATTGAATTTGATGAAATTAAGATTTTGTTTGTTTGACATTCTAAGAATTTCCATTAAAATTAAGTACTGTTTTGAAAAAATTACTACTTGAAACAACTTTTCAGTAACAGGAAAAAAAACAAACAAACAATTTTTGGAAAACAATTCCAAACACAACCTAGACTAAATAAAAAGTTGTCTTGCAAATCCACACTTAATTGCAATATAAAAGATTCCCACACTAATAGCTGTACATAGTCTACTGTGTTATGTTAGACCACTATCAAAATCAACAACCTTATTTCCGTTGCTTTCTTTTTCTCTTCCTCTACCGAATCAGTCTTGGCAACAGATCCAAACTTAGCACCTCTAGCCTTCTTCCTTGCTTCCTCATCAGCAGGTGACAATATCATAGCATAGAAATATTTATACTTTGTTTAGCAAGAATTTATAAGTAGACACAAATGAGTGGTGGATAAGCAATACTACTTGTCGTTCATTAAAATGTGTGAATGAAGTTTGACCATTTTGTAAATGATTTAAAAATGTTGCAAAACGGAGGCTTAATAAACCAATAAGTACCGTGTGCGCACACGTTCTCTTCATAATAGACTAATCACCAGAATTGAACTTCTTTTTTTGAATTTTCTTCCTTAGAATCGCATAAAACTAATTTTTCACCAATCAAATATTTCCAGTTGCAAATTGTTCATCGTTAATGCCTCCACAAATTCCAGAAAAATTCCTTAATTTTCTGATAGAACCCAATTTATAAATATCATCTAAAGTCAATCTCCATAATTTGTTCCTCAACGAAAATAAATAGGCAGTTTGTTTTATTACTATCCCAAAAATTTTCCAACTTAGAAAACTTAACTAAATTATACAAAATCTTTATTCTGTAAACCTCACCTTAAAATGCTGTGAAAAATCTTTGCTCCATTTCTCTACCAAATCCTTATATTGAATCTTTTTCACATTATTTCGAAAAAAGAAGCTAAATACTCCATACCCAAAAGTTTCACAACTGAAACTATATATCGCAACACTCTAATAAAAATATAGACCTATAATGCAAGCAAACACCTCAAATCTCAGCTTCTTCACTTAGGTAATGATCATACAATTGCACGGCCTAATGCTCTTCTTGATTGCCTTAAGATGTTATTGGTTATATAAAAAAAACAAAATAAAATCCGTGCGCATTTTTTTTTCATACCAATAACATTTTTTCACCTAAGCCAATTTTAATTTCTGCCTCCAAACAACTTCAATTCTGCTCTCACACTCCATTTGCAATACACTAAAAAAAAAAAAAAACCAAACAGAATCATCTCTCCATGAAAATCTACTATCTTTCTTCATATTTTGATATGCTATCTCAGACTTGAGAATCAGTCTACTACTGAAAATAACAATTCATATAATGTGCAAGTAAGAACCCAGTTGCATGCGTCCACACATAATGTTAATCAACGAAAAAACCAAGTCAAATTGAAGAATGATGATTTAAAGTGATACCCCAACAGTGTTGTGCTCTTACAACCTGTGAACCCCATAGTCCACCGCCTGCAAAGTCAAAGAAATCAAATTAACCCAAAATCCAGATTGCAAAAAAAAAAAATATTTGAGAAAGTAGAAAAAGAACAAAAATCTGGAAATCCATAACAATCCAAAACTCAAAGCACACTCCAACGGTTAACATCAAAACTTCTTTTGATAAATTAGTGAAATATCATTAGGAATTGTTCATTTCTCAGATCCAGATTCAATCGAGTCAATCTACACATAAGTATAACATATATATAAATGGAAATATAAAGATATTGACGCCTTCACTGATTTCTTTGTAAAACCCAATATCTTTATGTCACATAACGTTTTAATCAACCAAATTTTGTGTGTTTTTGAAGTCAATTATTATTTGCAAAACAAAATAAAACCCACAAAATTAGGGCCGTTCTCGACATTTTCAAACAATTTTCTATTTTTGATTTTCCAAAAGAGCGAAAACGTGTTCTATTTTTTGAAAACAGGAAAAAAAATTGTACTAAAAATAGAAAATGTTATTTTTATTGTTTTGGGCGTTTTCGGTACAAAACACGGTAAAAATGGAAAACGAGGAGAGATGGATTTCTATTGAAGTAATATGACATACCTTGATATAGCGGCCATAATTCAAAACTGAACACTACACCCAAACTCCGGTAAGCCAATAGGAATAATGTCTTCCGTGATTCTCTCTGCACCAAAAATAAAACTCAGACAAAAGAAAAGAATAGATAATTTTGTGATATTTGATACAATATTCACTGCCAAAGGTCTCGACCTCGATAGGATATTTTCAGCGAAGTTCCACAACCCTAAAAAGTAACATTATTACATCCAAGAAAACTTCAACTGAATATAGCCACAAGAGGTGGAACTGAAGAAAATATGATGTTTCTTCAATATATTAGCATTTTCCTTCTATATACTTAATTTATCCATGGTAAAATAGTACAACGAATTACAGTGTGTTAACAGGAAACCGGATGATGACGATTATTATGGAACAAGTTCTAGTAATTTAAGAACCCCACATTTTTTAAATAAGGCCCCTGGTGATGAAGGCCACGTATAACTTGCTGCTATCCAATCTTCAGCCAAGTTTTTTCTGCTCAAATGGGTAAAAAATTACCGCAACAGTTAAACGAAAGCAGTTCTTCAATTGATAAAAAAAATGATGGTAATTGTTATTTCCATGTGAAGTTCGTCGTGTACAGAAAAAATTGATAAAACTTCCACTACCAAGTATGATAACTAAATCAGGGAAAATGATAAAAAAAAATAAAAAAGGAAAGAAACAAATTCAATCAAAGAGAAGAGTCTATATCTGAATACGAATCCAGCCATCAAACCGGTCGAAGCAGTGGCGGAAGATTCTGAGACCAAAACGGCAAAACACGTTGTTGGCGGCGCATGCGACTTTCTCTTCGTCCTAGTGGCCTTGCCCGTCGTCACCCGTGGAGTTACCGCGTGGGTAGCAGCTGTTGCGGTGCTGCCTCTGCTTCGGCCTTTGATTTTGAATGGAAATCATGGAATCAATCAATCAATGGAATTAGGAATTTAGGAAAGGTAGGGTTTGCGGTTTCAGCTTCAGTTCACAAGAAATATCTACTGTACAGGCGATTGAGAAAGTAGGAAACGGCGCAAGGAGAGGGAAGTGAATGGGGAGAAGATGAAGTAGGGTTGATTTGGGGGAAAGGGCGGAGATCTGTTGATTGTCGAGAGAGAGATAGGAGAGGGCGGGAGAAATGAGGGGTAATCAGAATTTCACGTGTCTCAGGCGGTGGAAGTGGTATGAACAGGAGAGGCTTGTCTGGCAACATTTATGAGGCTCGGCTTGTGAACAGTGATATGTGTCTTAGTAGGATGAACAGGTTATGAACAGTGTTTTGGAGGATGAGTCTTTTAATGTAGAAGGACAAAGAGTATTTCTTCTATGATTATTGATGATTCGCCAAACTATATTTAGTGGGTGTTTGGTGGGATTAAAATTAGATTATTAGTATGTCGTGATAGAAGTTTTTGAAATGTGTGGTTGAAAAGTTGTGGGACCCATGAAAGATATGGTTAATATTGATTGTTTGACTTTAAAGTTTTTTCAAGAGACTCTTTAAACATGAGATACTCTCTATTTTAAAGAGTCAATATTTAAAATCATACTCCAAGAGACTTTTTAAATTAACATTTTAATTTAGATAGTGAGTTTGACTCTCCAAATTTGGAGAGCCAAACTTACTCTCTATAATTAAATGCATTTAAAGTGTTTTAATTTTCAATGTAGAAGACTTGGATTTATTTTAGAAAAAATTTTAAAAACCAAATCACCCCATCTTGGTTAACTATTCTTGGACTTTCAGAGTTACATTGGAATTATTTGTTGAGACATGGAAAAGCTTCATGGATTTTTTTAATAAATCTCTTAACTGGTTCTGTAAATTGTCATCTATGATGTGGCAGGAAACTAAAAAGAATTTTAATTTATGTGACATTAATTTCTATTAAAAAGTGGTCTCCATTTAAGATGATGGAGAGGAAGATAACACAATTATTTTTTTCGAGTCACATTGTCTCTCAAATCCTCGAAGTAGATAGCCTTCTTGGCATTTTTTTCCTTTATATCTTACTATGTCCCTCACCTGAATTGAAGAAGTTTTCTTCTGGACGATGTTTATTTGCCGATGTGTCACTTTTTTCTTTTATAATTCACTAATGCGTTGGAGATGCGCTTTACCGCTCTTCTTTTTTGAGTGCTAATTATTACTTGCAATGAAATTTAAGTTGGTACGAAATGTTTTTCAAAGCACTCTTGGCCCTTCTCATTATTACCAAATTTTAGTAATAACCAATACTACCAAACAATTTCATAAAACAGGTTTTTATTGTATCCTAAAATGTCATTGTTATGGTAATTAGTTGCCTATATAATTTCTTGGTATGGACTCAAAATAGTAAATTAAGTTGGAGTAGGAGTACCCATTTTAAATAAATTAAGCATCATGGGCATAATTTAATTCGATACGGGAAGAATGACTCGATTGTTGAACGAATTTGAAAGGATGAGAAAAATCTCGTATATTGTATTGTGAAGTCTTTTTAGTTAATAAAGTGTGTTTCTTCTATGATTATTGATGATTCGCCAAACTATATTTAGTGAGTGTTTGATGGGATTAAAATTAGATTTTTAGTAGGTTGTGATAAAAGTTTTTGAAATGTGTGGTTGAAAAGTTGTGGGACCCATGAAAGATATGGTTAATATTGATTGTTTGACTTTAGAGTTTTTTCAAGAGACTCTTTAAACATGAGATACTCTCTATTTTAAAAAGTCACATTTAAAATCATACTCCAAGAGACTCTTTAAATTAACATTTTAATTTAGAGAGTGAGTTTGACTCTCCAAATTGAAGAGCCAATGTCATTTTCTGTAATTAAATGTATTCAAAATATTTCAATTTTCAACGTAGAAAAATAATATAAATAAAAATTAGTTAAAATAAAAGATAAACAAAAATAATAATATTTTTTGGGAGTAGTAAAATTAAGTGTTAAATATAAAGAGTTTGCTGGAGTACTTCAAAGTTTTCTCTCTAAATTTATAGATACTCTCCAAATGATAGAATGTGCTCTTTAAAAATAAAAAGTCTATTGAAGATGTTTTTAATTTAAATTAAAATCTGATTTTAATTCGAAATAAATAGGGCCTTAATTTGTGCCTCTCTTTCTTTGTTTTTTTTTTTTTTTCATTTTCCTCCGCATTCTCTATTCATTATTCAATGTGAGTTTGGTAAAATATTTTCTCAACATAAGCAACTAATTAATTGATTTTCAATTGGTTATGAATAACGCACTAGAATGATAATGGTGTCGAGGGACGGAGGAGGCTGGATGACAAGGGTAGATCTCGCTATCAAGGATGGGGTAGAAATAAACGAATGTGCATTTGTGATGGGTTTGACATGTTAAATTGTATGTAATTAGATAAATTTAAATTAAAGAAGACATTGTAAGTAGAATATTTATTCTATGTTGTGCTCGTACCATGTAAGAAACATTCGCTCAATATATATAGATTTGAAGTGCCGACATTAATGTAGCAAGTACGAAACAATTGAAGTGTAATATAATTAGGCAACTAGAATTAATATTTCATTTAAGAGACAAATTAGGAGGTAACTTATAATTACAAAAAAAACGCATTAAAAAATAAAATTATAAAAAAACTTCTGGATTTGTTCTGTACAACGAGTTTTTGCCCCAGCGTTTTTTTTTTTAAATAAGAAAAATATTCAATACCTATCTCATCTTTGTAAATATAAAGGGAAAAATGAAAAGAAATCCATAAATTTCATCTCCTTCTCCTTAGGTAGAGGTGGCAAATGTGTCCAGCCGAGAAGAGGTCGAGCCGCTCAGTGGTCAATTGTCCTAGCTCGATCCATGAGCGACTCGAGCTTGTTTTAATATAAACCATAGATCGAACCTAACTCATTTTTTTCATGAACCCAGCCCCACGAAATGGCTCGTTTTGACCTCATGGACCATCTAATTTTTTGTTCATTTTTTGACTTATTTTATTAATTTCTTTGAAAAAAAAAAAAAGCCAACTCGGTCAAGAAGACCCCCAAGCCAAAGTGAGAAGCTGAGCTCGAGTCTTTAAGGCTCCACCCATTGCCATCTCTAATCTAAACAATTGTCCAAAGGCGGAGCCAAGAGGTGCAAAAAATTTATTTTTTTACTGGACTGCTACATAGATTTTTTTTTTCCCCAAAACAACCAATCACCTCTATGAATTTTCAAGTTTCAAAATAGAAGCAAAAGACAAATTTTAATATTTTCTTTTTGAACAATGCTAGTTAGAGGTTAGAACTAGTGGTGTTCATCATCAATTTAGGTAATAATATAATTAAATAAATAAATCTCGTATCAATAAATTTCCTTAAACGTATCATCTAATGTTGATATATTAGCACCTAAACTAATATTAGAAAGGATGAGCCGCATCCTTGACGGCCCCCACCTGTTATGTCACGTGCCTTGGTGAATGAGGTAAATCGCAGTTTATGCCTCAAAGGGTATATGGTGGAAAGTTATTTGTACACTTGCACTTGTCCAATGGCTAAATCCATATTTCAGGATTCAAACTCTTAACGCGGCAGTCTCAAGCAAAGATGGAGTTTTTCCACCTTCCCTTGTACCACTTGAAGATGTGCCGTGAATGCGCACTTAAACTAGTATTAAACACTACAAATGCTAGATCGTATTGTTCTTTTATCCTTTTATAAGGACAATGTAAACTACGCAAAACTTTTTGTAAAATCAAAAATAAAAAACTAAACACGTACAGATGTAAGCAAAATTCAATTGATATATTTATTTATTATTATTATTATTATTATTATTATTATTATTAAATAAAATTCACTTGAGCGTCACGGCAAATATTGAGAAGTTATGCGAAAATTAATTTAAGAATCTCACTAATTGTTAAGTTAATTAGTAATTACATCATCATTCTAAATTTCTAATGGAAAATTTTCAGATTAGGTCCCAGCTTATGTAAAAAGTGCAAATGAATCCTTGAACCGTTATTTTATAGCTCCACCATCCCTAACTTTCGAATACATTGTAGTGCGAGGACCTTCTGATGGAATCAACATGCTCAACAGTTTTTAAGGATAAATTACACAAATAACATATAGCCCCGGTTGTTGGTGACTAACATCGAATTTTAATAGATTTTCATTAAAAAAAATTGATGAAATGTACAGTTAAAAAATTTGTAAATTCCATGAAATATGTGGTTAAAAATAATTATTAATTTTAACTTAAGTAAAATTAAAATTTTAATCAGTGCCAAACGGGGCATAATAATTAATAATATTGAACAGAAAATAGATCATTCAAAAAGAAAAGAATTTTTTTTGGTCCTAATGCCCCCCCACCCTCACCCAACTGCTCGATACATCCGTAAAATCACCTCCTTTTCCACCACCAAGTTCCACCCCTAAACCACTCACAACCATTGCTTCTGTAACAAATCTCCATGATTTTCACAACACCTAGTCTCACTCGAGGAGTCAGGAGCGTTAACTCATTGGTCGTATTTTGCCGAAGACACTGTGGCATGTACGGATATAAAGACAAACAACAAGAAAATTGAAATTTTGAGAACCAATTCATTCAAAGCATGTTCGAGTTTGTCCAACTAAAAAGCTGTACAATAAATTCTCGAGCTTCGTGGTGGAAAAAGCCTTGATTGTAGGGTGGGTGAGGTTTGGGATTTTTCTTCTTTTTATAATTTTGAAAAGAGAGAAAAATACATTTTGAAAATAATATGGATCGAACAAGAGTTAAGAGCCTGTTTGATCCCCATTTTTATGATGAAAATGCATTTTAGAATAATATTTTGGTGGATAATGTATTGTTAAAAATTAATGAAAGTTTTAAATTTACGTGTAATATTATTTTATTAAAAATAAGAGAGAAAATTATATTTTGAAAATAAGGGATCAAACAAGGGCTAAATATTGTTTCATCTATTTTACTCTTAAGAAATGTTGAGCACATGCTATTCACACACAGTTCATGTGTTATTGGACGAATTCCATTCAAATGTTGCTTATTTGTTCAAAGGTTAGGGATGACCGTACTGAAAAATAAAGACGGTAGGATCATTTGAAATTTTTGAAAACGTTGAAGACCTCAACTGCAATTGTCCCTATACGAGTTAGGAAAAATTCATTTGTACAATCATTAGGAGATTGTAACTTTTACAATCTCTCACATCAGGGTGGGACCACCCTATTGTGAGAGATTGTAAAAGTTATTAATCAGTTAGTCCTATCCTAATGTGAGAGATTGTAAAAGTTAGTAAAAGTTATAATCTCCTAATGATTGTAGACCAAGCATTGTTGATACTAGTTAACGCAGCTGATTAATATTTTATACTGTGCACACACGTGCAAGGCATGGACCATTCAACACGCGTTAAGTGTGTATATAAGTCTTCCTCCATATCATACTTTTCAATTTATTTTATTCGCCCTAACCCTCTTCTCTCTGCAAATTTATTAACCGTAAGATTTGAACTCTCTCTATTTCGCCATGCTTTTCTGTATATATCTGTGATTGTTGTATGTATACAAGTTTCAATGTTTGTGCTTGTTTATTTAATTCTTGATTTTTCCGCCTTTTTACTGTTTGGTATGGTGGCTTCTCTTGGACTTCTTTAGTATAAATTAATAAGAAAAAGGTGAAATTACACTGAGCATGAAAATTTGTATAATTTAAAATTACTCTTCAGTACGAGGTTTTTCTTTTCCCCTGACTTTTCATCTTTTACTAGATATAATTTGCTAGCTGCAAAATTTTGGTCTTTTTTCAAAATAATTAGAATCTGATTTTCAATTGATTTATCTGGGGAAATGATTTTATGGGTTATCAATTTGTCTATTTGAGTATGGAAGAAATCCAGGTCATAAGATTCATGCCAAATTTGAAGCCTTCCTTCATGTTCCATCGAATTTATCTGTAGTATAAAAAGAATCCATGAATGAAATTTATTCTTTTTTGGATCCATGATGATGGTTGGGGAATATGTTTTCAGCCAATGAGGGCCTCATAGTCTAGAATATATTTCCTGGCTCCAATAATTGATTATTACACCTGATAACCCTGTTTATGCCTTAGTTTTTTAGCACCTTGTTGCCTCTAAATTACTAATTGGTTAGATGCAGGAATTTAAGTACTCAAGAATAAAGCACTTTGTTCCTCTTTATTGTAACATCCTTTCTCTATTTGCTAGATAATTGTCATGACTCCCACCTGTGCTCATAAACTCACCCACAATCAATTCATTCTAGAATATTCTATAGCTTACTCTATAATTTCAGCACATGGAGGGAGGAAAAGGGAGTTGAAGATTGTCAGCCTTGGTGCAAAACTAAATTTCCCCCTTTCTCTTGATCTGCTTCTCTCGATCTCTATCTCTATCTCTAATTATAAATCTGAATTCTTCTTCGTTTCTTCCTTCTCTGAATCTGTCTTCCTATTTGTCTCTTTCATCTCCCTCCTTACTATTAGTTTTGCTTTAATTGATCTTCATTATTGTGGTCAATATATTGGGTACTGATTTCCTTTCATGTTTTTGATACATTCTTACTGATTAATTGAGTTTGGTTGTAAAGTTGAAGTCCAACCATAGCAAATGGTATCAGAGCATCTATGTGTACCTCGATTGGATAGCATAATGAAAGAAATAAATAGGAAGCATGAGCTAGTGATTTCAATGCTGACTGTATTGGTTGAGGGTAAATCATCCTCCAAAGGGAAACAACACGAGGTTGAAGATTCTATACTATGTTATGGTTCAAATAGTGCTGAAATATGTGAATGGTTTGCTGATGATACAACTGAGAAATCTAGAGGCATGACAATAGATTTAGAAGGTGAGGCGTTATTTACAAGTGTGGAGAAAACTGAATGAGGTGAAGAGGAGGCTGAAGGGGAGAACATGAAAATCTCTGAATATGCTTTAGCAGTAATAGAAAATGGAGTTATGGAGGATTGTTATTCTGCCGTTGTCGGTTTTAATGGGATTTAGTCAGGAACATTAAGAATTTGCAGCGGAGAATGTAGACAAGAACATTAAGAACAAAGTGGCAAAGAGAAACCAAAACGATGAGATGATTGAGGCATATGCCACCTTGCACTGCCTGCTTAATCCAATGAAGAGAATGAGGTAGCTTGAGAGGATGTTAACTTCATATGTTCTAGATTTCGAACCTTGAGGACAATGTTAATTTAAGGGGAAGGACTGTCATGACTCCCACCCGTTCTCACCAACTCACTAACCATTTTACTTCTCCCCAACAATGAATTCATTCTAGCATATTCTGTAGCCTACTTTATAATTCAGCACATGGAGGGAGAAAAAGGGAGTTGAAGATTGTTATCCTTGGTGCAAAACAGAATTTCCCCCTTTCTTTTTATGTGTTTCTCTCCACTTTCTGTCTTTCTTCTTCCTCTTCCTCTTTACTGTTAGTTTTGCTGTAATTGATCTTCATTATTGCAGTCAATATATTGGGTACTGATTTCCTTTCATGTTTTTGATACATTCTTACTGATTAATTGCGTTTGGGTGTAAAATTGAAGTCCAACCATAACAATAATCTTCTTTTACAAGTAATTTTTCAGGTTTTTTTAATATCAGGCTAACGGTGATGGCTTCAAAGAGGATTCAGAAAGAATTGAAGGACTTGCAGAAGGACCCACCTGTATCCTGCAGTGCAGGTTTATCTCTCACTCCCTCAAACTTTCTTTCCATTTGTCAGTTTCTGGAAGTTATATCATATGTTTTCCATTAATCTCCTGATTCTTTTCCTGTGCTAATGGGAATCTGAGATTAGTTTGGTGGTTCTTTCTTAAGTAAGTTTTTGTTTTGTGTACTCAAACTCATCTTTGTGGTTCAAAAAATCAACTTTACTCTACCAGTGAGGAAGAGAATGGAGGTTGTTGCCTGTACACTAAATCCTTTAATTATTTTAATTACAAATTTTTGGGATGTGAAATCTGAGTAAAGGTTTAATTTATGCTCATGGCATTTTGCATGAGAAGGGTAGGTTATGTTGCTAAGGTCTTTCAAGACAGCGATCGCATAAGGAAAAGTACAGGAACTAGCAACACTTTAATATTCTGATTTGATATACTTGTATATGTTCACTGTGCTGCAAGAATCAATTTTTTTCTCCTGCTCTTATTTACCCTAGTAAGGCAGATATAATGCAGCGTCAATGACTAACCGCTTCTGCTTGTGATTATTCTCTGTAATTTTTTTCAAATCACTTTAGTATCTGCTCATCTAGTCTCGACAATCTTTTGTTCCTCTATCCACTCTGTTTGGGGGTAGGTTGAATTCTGATTTTTTTTTGTGGCTCATTTTTTAATTGCTTTAAAGGGCAGTTGATTGTGAATTTTGTCTTTTGAATAAATTGGAATCGTAAATAAGTGGATTCGTTGTCATTTGTCGTCAATCTCTAATTACCATTGAATTTCTTTTTCAGGGCCTGTTGGTGAGGACATGTTCCATTGGCAAGCTACCATTATGGGTCCTTCAGACAGCCCTTTTGCAGGGGGTGTGTTTCTCGTGACTATTCACTTCCCACCGGATTATCCTTTCAAGCCACCCAAGGTAACCCGGCTAAAATATTATGACAAATAAACTTTGGCCTTACTGGCTTGGACACAAGGAGTAAGATGATACTGGTTGTGTGGTAGGATGCATAGGGCATTAAAGCAGCCTATATCTCAATCTTCTATGGAATTATGTTTGCCCTTTTCCTTTGCTATAGAACTATCATATATGAACTTCAAAATCACCTTTGATATTAGAATTTGGTACAAGAGTACACCCTTGTGCAAGACTTGAGTGTCATACAAGACATGCTTGTGAGAAATTTTTGACCAGGGATTTGAACTCACTGAAAAGCTGCAAAAAATTATTGAACCAGATTGTTATATCCAGCACATAGTGGTTATGGTTTTTACTGAGTGTTTTAGATATGAGATGCGATAACTGCATTTGATAAATCTTCCAGATTCACAATGCACCTTGAGACAAAATAGGCAGAGCATGTTTTTCTATGCCTCAAAAATAAGCAAACTTACTTTTAAGAGGAAAGTTTTGTTATAATTCTTTTGTAAAAAAAGCTACTTTTAAAAGAGAAGTAAAAAATGTTTGGGAACACAAGTTACTTAAAGAAAGTAACTTTTGAAGTTACAAATTTGGCTAAAGCGTAAAAGTTACTGTTGCTTTTAAGTAACTTTACTTTTATTTAGGCTTTACCAAACATGCTTAGGCCTGGTTCTGTTGTGCTTTTCTTTCTTTCATTTCTGAATCAAACGTGGTAGTACTTCATTGAATGCCAAAAAAGCTTGATTTTCTTCTTCCCTTCCCTGTATTTTTGTCCTCAAAAATTTCAGATGCTTATCATTGTTTATTGTGCACCGAGCAGGTCTCTTTTAAGACCAAAGTCTTTCATCCAAACATCAATAGCAATGGAAGCATCTGTCTTGATATCCTTAAAGAGCAGTGGAGCCCTGCCCTTACGGTATCGAAGGTAACATGTATCCTCCTTGCAATCTTGCATGTTCTCGTCTGTGCGAATACTATTGGCATCTCTGTACTTAGCCCGTCAGTCAGTCTGACTCTGTTGCGTATGCTTAATTAGAAAAAATGATATTACTTTTATGAGTGATGCTTTTCTTATGTCATTGGTTTTTGTTGGAGCCATATGTTTGACAACGGTGAACTTGTAGGTGCTGCTCTCGATTTGCTCCTTGCTGACTGATCCAAATCCCGACGATCCTCTTGTGCCCGAGATTGCTCACATGTACAAGACTGATAGAGCCAAGTATGAGACTACTGCTCGATCATGGACTCAGAAATATGCCATGGGATGAAAGCTCGGTCTGCTGTTGGATTATTATTGCATTTGTGCCATGCCACTAGTAATAAATAGGGAAAAGAACGTGAGATTTTCATCGGTTTTTTTGTCTCCTCTCAGAGGGTTTGCATATGGTTCTTCATTGAACTATAAATGTTCCTTCTGTGAAAAAGGTATTTATAAAGATTGCGTGTTTGTTCTACCTCCAGACACTCAAATATAACATGTCTGTTAGTTTCTATTGAATGCATTGGCGTTTACCGTGTAATATAAAGTATTCATTTTTGGTGGAAAATTTTTCAATCTCGGTTGGTGAAAAGTATGATCAGATTCTCATATACTTGTGCATGTTCAACAGATCTAGCATGTTGGGTGTAGTAGAATAGATTATTAATTTAGAACTAGCACTGTAAGAATGCTATGAACTTGATTTTATGTAGCATTCTTGATTTTTATGTATTTTACTTCATTAAAATAAGGGAAAAATTGTAATTACCCCAGTTTAAAATTTCTTTTATTTAAAAAAATGATAATAATAGATTTATGTGGATAAAGAATGTGATTGAAATTGGTGGTTATACAAGGATAATGTGACTTGTATAAGATCATTTTCTCTCATCATATTCCACCCTAAAATTGAATTAGACGGTTAATCTCTGCATTCAAAAACCAAATTGTGTGATACAATAGGAAGAAGTTCGGATTTTGGTCACAACCGACAATTCATAACACAATGTCCAAACTATCAGAGGCCACAACATTAATGTATTCAACTTTTTTGTACACGAAATAAATTATATGACATAATTTCACTTGTCTGGTTATACATTATAATGTTGACACAATATCGAGGACAAGATATGCTAGGAACATTTTCCACGTTTCATACAGATTTGGAGACTGGCATTTCGTATTTATTCGTCACGACTTTCATGTGGAAGATGAAGTAAAAAAAAAAAAAATGTTCACTCATACACGTCAAACATTGTTATTCTAAAAAGAGGTCACAATTTCATACAATCAACGATTAATTATAGAAAAAGAATCGAGATATAAAAAATCACAACCATATTACAATATCAAATATGTTAGTGCATAAATATCGAAGTCAATGAATCGAGATTTAAGAAGGGAAATGTTTACGTCTCGAACTCATGATATTGATTGTGAAGAAGATGAAGTTTCTCTCTCCCAAGTAAAAGTAAAATGGTTTGTTAATATAATTTCCTGTAATTTATATTTAAAAGTTAAAAATCAGAAAACATTAACACCATTCACGGGATTCCAAAAAAAAACCTTTAAATTAAATACCAAAAATAGAATTAAATTTTTTTAAATAACAAATACATGATTTGTGAAAAAATAAGTCTATAACTTGATTTGCGAAAAGTAAAAATTAAAAACATAGTTTGCTCTAATTTTTTCGACTTAAAAATTAACTCTACACAACCAATTTTCTACTAGAAAGTCCTTTACATCTCTATCCACCACAATAATACTTGAAGAAAAAGTGTCCAATTTGATGCCACTTGCGACAATCATTTTAAATACATGTTTAGCCCCAATTTTTAAAAAATTAAAATTTTTTCAAATTCATTTTAACTAAAATTTTATGGGATCCATGGGAGAAGAAAATTGAAAATACCATTAATCTCCTTTCCCAAATCATACACCCCACCTCATCACAGCTAACCAAACTCACCTATCCTCACCTACCCAACCGCCACTGCCACCGTCACCAGCCCCCTCAGAACTTCACTTTCCACGACGATACACTTCCTTTATCTTCTTTCAATTTCATCTGGGATTTAAATGATTAAATTGTTAGGCTAAATATATTCACCCCACAATTTGTTAGGCTGAAATACTGTCTAAATAAAAAAATGAAAAAAAAAAAAAATCAAACCCTAACCCTTTTTAGTTCAAGCAATACACATGCACAAAACAAGCTATTACACAATATATTAAGTTCCAAGTCATCAAATCACTCAACATTTTCACATTTCCCTGTACATGAAAACTATGTTCAGCTTGTTATCATAGTGTTTCATACTGTAAATGAGAAAAAAATAGAGCACACTTACCATACATAGGTTGGGGAAGAGAGCCTCGAATATGGATTGCAATATCTGATGGATGGTCATCTTCGTCTTCGTACATTTCATCTTCATCTTCATCTTCGTGGATTTTTGTGGGTTCCATAATGGATGATGAAATGAAGAGTAACTAACTTTTTTTTTTTGAAGGTAAAGTGTGTAATCCTCGAATTGCCTTTGCCTATTTGGGAAAAATTATTAATTTTTTCATTTCTGAGGGCAACTAACGATTATGGTGGTCAAACAAACGAAAACCATCATTTCGGACTGGATCTGCGATTTTTTTAAAAGTTTGTTATCTCTGGTGACACAAATGAAAGGTTTAGGTCAAATATGTAACTAAATGAAATGTTTGATACTTTCGGTAACACAAAAGAAATGTTTAATAACTAGACCATATTTTAGCTGCATAAAATGTTCATAATCTTTACACATTATCACATTTATGTCTCGAATTCTTTTTAATCACATTCTTATTCTGAAATTAACTTAAATTATTTCTGATTATGATTTCTCTCCAAAATTTTCTTTAAAATAGAATAAAAACTCATTTGCCAATTATTATATTTTCGAATAAGCAAAATAAATAATGTTGACCTATGGTTGATTTCTTCATTAATGTTTTAATCATAACAAACAAGATTAATATTGTTTCTAAGGCTTAATAGCACAAAACGTCCCTACGTTTGACACTTCTTGTGGAAAACGTCAATGCGTTTCATTTTTTGCATTTTCATCCTTATTTCAACGTTTCATTGCGGAAAACATCATTTTCACCATTTTAATGTAAAATGATCAATATACCTTTCTATTTAAATAAAATAAAATAAAAAGAGAAGAAAAATAAAGAACAAATTGCAATCTTATTCCTAAACTTTTTTTTAAAAAAGTGCAAAAGAGTCTAAATATATTATTAAAATATTAAAAATAACCAAAAATAAAAATAAAAACTGTCTTTCTCTGTCATCTTGGGAACCACAAGTCACAAGTGGTGATGAATCATGAAAGGAATTATTGTTTCATACAAATTTCACCATAATTAATGATAGCTAACCCACAAAATTGGACAACAACTTTCTTCAAAACAAAAGTCGGACAGAAAACCTCAAAACTTACGAGAGTATCGTCCAGGGTAGCAACAAGAATGAACTTCCCATTCGGTGAGAACTTGGCATAAGACATAGCCGAGACTTTATCATCAACTAGCGTCTTCAAAAGGCCGCCGGTGGAGGCATCCCAAATTTTACACGAACCATCATGACTCCTCGAAATAATCAATGATCCATCCCGATTGAAATGGACAGATGTAACTGGCATCGAATGTGCCCGGATGAAAGCTTTACTCGTTTTCACTTCCCAAATCCGAACCGTATCATCAAAAGACCCTGAAACAATCAAATTAGATTGGGGATTGAAGTTCACGCAGAAGATGAAATCATTATGGCCCTTGAGGGTTCTGACACACTCCGCGGAGCGTGCATCCCAGATTCGGAGGGTCCGATCGTCCGAAGCAGAGCAGATGTAAGTCGAGTCAGAGGACCACGCCAGATCCGAGACTCCATCAGAATACCCAATCAAACTGAATAATTTGGTTAAGGTTTCCGAAGACCAGACGATGAGGGTTTTGTTTTGAGACGCCAAGGCGAATAGCTTGCCATTTTTCGAAAACTTCACGCAGGACACGGCTGAGGGAGGGGGAGGAGAAGAAGATGAGAGAGAAACACTTTTTATTTTTATTTTTTTGGTTATTTTTAATATTTTAATAATTTATTTGGACTCATTTGCATTTTTAAAAAAAATTTAAGAATAAGATTACAGTTTGTTCTTTATTTTTCTTCTCTTTTTTATTTTATTTAAATAGAAGTGTATATTGGTTATTTTACGTTAAAATGGTGAAAAATGATGTTTTGCCGCAGTGAAATTTTGAAATAAGGACGAAAATGCAAAAAAAAGAAAAAAATGAAACGTAAGGACATTTTCCGCAAGAAGTGTCAAAAGTAGGGACCTTTTGTGCTTTAAGCCTTGTTTCTAATAATTGATTTTGAGTGATGATAGTTCAATGTTAAAATCAATCAAGCATTGTCAAAATCAACACATCATAAATCGGACTCGAAATAAAAATTAAAGTGAAAGTTAAGCATTCAAGTCAAATCATTCGAGACGATAGCTTAAAAGATCAAAATCAAGACTGTCAAATTGGGCCCATGAAAAAGATCAAAATCGAAGTCACATTCAGGATCTTAAGAGCTAAATTTCGGAGCAAGATCAAATACTTGATCTATAAGCTAAAATGTAAAGGTATTAACACTTTAATATATGGCAATAAATGCTTAAACTCAAAATCCCTACATGCATTAAAAACAATTTTGTGCATTAAAAGTTATTCGTATACAATGATTTGATCAAATGTAAAAATGATATTTGGACTTGTAAAACATTTTTTATCTTGAAAAGTTAGTTAAAAATATTCACCAAAAGTCTATACTTTTCAAAACCTTCAAATCGGAACAAATGGAGGCAAAACGTGGAAAATGTCAAACTGCCCAGCGTTAGACCGACAGGGAGAGGCGGTAGATCGGATGGCGATCGACCGGCCAAAATTGGCAGTCGATCGAAAATTTCTAACAGTCCAAAATTTGAAAGTTCGGCATCTAATTTTTCTGTACAAACGATTATACTGGTATCCGGACAAGAGGCGGTCGACTAGACGCGGCCATCCGAACTCCCAGATTTTTTAACGGTTTGAACTCTATAAATACCTCTACTTCTTGTATTCAAATTGCACTCTTGAAAAGTATAAAATTGAGAATTATTTGAACAAAACTCTTTGAACTTACATTTTTACATTCATTTCATTTATTTCTACATGACAAAAACTTTGATTGTTGAATCAAATTTTTTGAATCATTTCTCTCATAAAAAATTTTCATCTCTCTTTTGTGTTGAATTTACTTATATCAATTTAAAAAGAGAGATATATTTTTAAAGAAAATCTTTACACTTATTTTGCGTAAACATTTCTACTTCTTCATATTTAAAACTTTGATTGACTTAATCAAACTTGAAAAATCATTATATTCATCGAAGTTTTTATTCTCTCTTAGTACTTAATTTATTACAAATTATTCATTGAAAGATATTTTTGAAAAAAAGATTTTTGCACTTACATTGTACAATTTTTTTTTTTTTTTTTTTATCTTCTTCTTCTTCTTCATCATATTGAGATTTTGATTAAACTTGTAAAATATTATATTCATCAACTTTTTTATTTCTCTCTTAGTACTTGGTTTATTACAATCATCCATTAAAAGAGATATATTTCTTTAGAAGATTTTTGAACCTACATTGTATTTATTTCTTCATATTCTCATTGAAACACTTTGATTGATTGAATCTAATTTTTGACTATCATATTCATCGAAAAATATCATCTGACACTTCAGCTATCATTTATTACTATTCATTGAAGTATTAGTCTCTTTTAAAAAATTTTTCATCTAACACTTGAACAATCATTTATTATTATTCATTGAAGTGTTAGCATATCTTAGTATTTAACTTATTTGTATTATTTATCAAGAGATGTATTCCATTGTAAAATTACTTTCATAAAGAGTGGGTCGTGTTGAAGTCCTTTAAAGATCAACATTGTATAAGGATCGGTGCTTCTTATTGCAAGTCACCCTATGGGTCATATTAAGGGTCTGTAAAAGCTCAAATAGTGGGTCATGTAGAGGTTTCGTAAAACTCAACATTGTATAAGGATCGGTGTTCCTTATCTGTAAGTCATCGGAAACGTTGTAAATGGTTGAATTGCATAATAAGACAATCAACATAGAGAAAAGGCCATGTTCGTGCCGGAGAGCTTGGTAACGGAGCACATGGATCATTACTTTGGATCGAACCTCCACAATTATATCGTTTGCATTTTCTCTCCCTTTTACTTATCGTTTTTATATTTGTGCTTATTATTTGAATTATTCTATTTAATCTTACTTGATTGAATTTAGATTAAATTTTTGAAAAAGTTTTGAAAAACAATTCACCCTCATCTTGGTTAATTATTCTTGGACTATCAAATAATACTACAAAAATACTATTAAATATTTGACCATAATTTTAAATCACATTAACATAGTTTTTGGACGAAAACTATGATTAAGGACAATATTTTTTTATTAATGAAATGTTAAAATTAAAGATGTGATGCAAAATGTTGAGGATATAAGTGCAATAATAAATAAAGATTAATGACATTTAATATAATTAAAATATAGTGTGAATATAATTACCCATTAACTCTTTTTTTTTTTTATTTTGTGAATAATCAAATGGATAGACGAATTGAAAAGTTTTAGAATTATGGATATGTCAAAAGAATGGTTGAATGGGAAAATGATAAACGTTCAAAACCATATGGGCCCTAGGCCCCATATGATAGATGAGGGAGATTATGTGTAGCACGACTTGGCTGAATAATACAAATATATAATCATTGACATAATATTTGAAATATCGCATAATATTTTATTATTAGAGTATTTAAAATGCAATTAGCTTTTCTATCAAATCATCAAGTTCCACGTATAAAATTCATGAGGGGCAATATGACAAAATTGGAATAATATTACTTGCAAAATGAGATATTCAAAAGAGTAATTAGCATATAACGTCCCTACGTTTCATTATTATTGTGGAAAACGTCCATACATTTTATTTTTTTGATGTTTTCACTCTTATTTTCACATTTCATTGCCCAAAAGGTCATTTCCACATATTTTCTTAATTAAAAATTATGAAATAACGAATATACCCTTCTATTTAAATAAAACAAAAAGAAAAAAAATTAATTTCAATCATAGTTCCAATTTTTTAAAAAAAGCCCAAATATGCTACAAATAAATTATTAAAAGGGTAATTAACACATAATGTCAATATATTTCCCTATTATTGCAAAAAAAAAAAAAAATCCATATCTTTAATTTTTTAGCATTTTTACCTCTAGTTATACGTTTAATTGCACAAACCATCATTTCTATCCATTTTATCCAATTTTCAATAAAAAACTGTGAAATGACGAATATACCATCCTATTCAAATAAAAAGCTAAAGAATTAATTTGAAATCACAGTCCCAATTTTTTTTTAAAAAAATGCAAACAAGTCCTCAATAAATTGTTTTAAAAAATATATTTTAAAAAAAAGTGTAAATGAGTCCCGATTAAATTTATTTAAAAATTTTAAAAAAATTAAAAGTGCAAACGGGTCCCAAATAAATTATTGAAGAATCATTAAAAATATTTTTTTTATTTAAATACGAGGGTATATTTGTCATTTCACAACTTTTTATTGAGAAATTGGATAAAATGGATAGAAATTATGGTTTGTGCAATTAAATGTGTAATTAGGGGTGAAACTGTGAAAAAAATAAAAGGTAGGGACTTTTTTGAAATAATAGGAAAAGGTAGGGACATTATGTACTAATTACCCTTATAATAATTTATTTGTGACCTATTTGGGTTTTTTTTTAAAAATTGGGACCGTGATTGTAATTATTTTTTTTTCTTTTTCATTTTTTTATTTAAAAAGAATGGTATATTTGTCATTTTATAATTTTTAATTGAGAAAATGGATGAAAATGACGCAATGAAAAGTAGAAATAAGAGTGAAAATGTCAAAAAATAAAAGATAAGGATATTTTCCACAATACGTGGGACGCTACGTGCTAATTACATATTCAAAATATTTGCGCCGTTCCTACATGTACAACAAAAATCGGTTGGTCAGACGCGGTTGCGAGTGAAAACTGGACGTGAGCTGTCTCCACTTCATGTTCTAGCATCCATCTCCTTCTCTTTACATTTTTGTATGGCCCCACTCTCACGTTGATTCAACAAACCTTTCTTTCAATTTAGGGTCACGCATACACGTTTATGTCTATATAATAATATTTATAATTAATGATATTTGTTTCCCTTTGAATATAATTAGATTCTTAGGTAGATTAGAAATAGAAAGATAAATCAGAAAGAATATCAAAGGAATATAACTTGGGAGGGAATTTCACCCGTCTATATAGAATTTTTTTGATTTTAATTACATTTTGCTAAATTAGATCAGAAAAATTACAGGGCAATAATGTGTTTGAGTCAGATTAAGTGTTGTTTGATTCTGTTTCTGTTTCTCTTCCTTTTCACGGGTCTCTCGGCGTCAACTTTCATTTCAGGTTTGTGCATTTAAATTCATGTAATTTATTTGTTTCGATTATGAAAATTGGTTTAATTTTGCGGTTCTGATATTTGTTAATTGATGCAGATGGTATCTTCGGATCCCCAGATTCAACTAATAGGAGGCTCCTTCAAGCTAAGAAAGGTAATTTCTTATATATTTTTTTATCGAATAAATTCTTTTCGTATTCCTAATTTTTCTTGATTTTATGTTTTCTATTGTAAGTTTTTAACTGGAAAGAATTATTTATAGTTATTATGCAACAATTGTTACTCTGATATTGTGGGCTTCCTCTGTGCAAATGCTTAAAGTAGTGTTGTTGGGAGCTTAATTTGGAATATATTTATGATGAATTTACATACTTTGTGGCGTACCTCTCAAAACATTCAAAGCCTAATATGTAGTGCAAAGACGAAGCAAATCTGCCAATGTAGCTTCATATGTATACTGGAATTAACTGGACAAGCAAATTTTCTCAGTTCATAGACTGGCAATTTTTATTTCTTGTGCCACCAATTACTCCACTTGCCCATTTCTTGGTTATACCCACCTAAATTTTTTACTCAACCACCATAACTTATACAAGGTTTCACCTCATTGAAATGTCATTAAATCCCAAAAGCTTGAGATTCATGACACGGTAGGCATTATATAATAGAGTTAATTGTATCTGGTTTGAATCCTTCACTGATTTTCGAAGATTACTAATAATATATTCCGGGATCTCAGAATAAGGAAAGATTTTTCCAAAATAGATTACATAAGTAGAGTGAACAATCGATCTCTAGCTGTCATGTCGCACAACATCATGAATCTTTGCCACCTGGAAAATCTTGATTCTGTGGATTTTTGGTCATTACTGCATCTACACTTGCCACGTTTCACGTATTAAAGCCATTCCCAGTTCATTTTTCTGTACTAATCCGGTTGGTAGTTACACGATAGATAATGCAAAATATTTTTCGTTGTGTTCGTTTGTGAAAAACTGTCTATTATGCTGATTGTATGTATATCCCTATATAATTGTTATGACAAATTTGCGGGCTAAACGTTGTGTACATTGTACTCCCCATTATTGTGTCCCGAACTTGAACTTATGATATTTTTTGGTTTTTGTAGCTATGATGCTAGTAGGATTAGGTTTTTACTCTGGTTTGATAGTATAGTTACTATGAGCCACTCAGTTAAAACATTTTAAGCAAAAACAGCCCAGATTCGATTTTATTTTCAGGAACATTGCATCTTCATTTGAAATTCTCGATTCTCTCTGCTTTTAAGGACAGTTTATTGATTTTGTTGTCACTCGTGATGCACAGCTTGCCCTGTTAACTTTGAGTTCCAGAACTACACTATCATCACCAGCAAGTGCAAAGGGCCACTATACCCACCCAATCTGTGCTGCGGCGCTTTTAAAGAATTTGCATGTCCTTTTTATGATGAACTGAACGACTTATCTAACGACTGCGCTTCAACCATGTTCAGCTACATTAACCTCTACGGGAAGTATCCACCCGGTCTATTTGCCAGTGAGTGCCGGGAGTCAAAGGAAGGACTTGATTGCTCTGCAATGCCACCATCATCATCACTATCAGAGAGAACAGAGAAATCTAGTGCTGGGAAGATAATATGTAACCTATTCTCAATGCTGATGCTCATAACAGCTCCTCTTGTGCTATTACTGTAATTTATGTATAGCTTTTCACGTATTTTGCTTCTGTCATCATGTTCTTTGAAAATTTTACTCGTGTGCCATGAGCAATCAAACCGGTGAATCAGATGAGGCTTTTTCACCATGTAACAAAAGAATTTATATATATATTTTTCAATAATTTAGCACTTGTTTGATAAAGATTTTATGAGAAATGATTCTTTAAAAAAGCGTTTTTTTATGAATTTTTTATGAATCTATTGGTTAAAAAATAGGAAAAGATTGTGAGAAAGCATGAAAAATAATTTTTATTATAGACAGCGTGATTAGAAATGAGTGTGAAATATAAGACCACGTTTTGACCTCTTTCTCATTTTTTAAAATGAATTTTTTTAAAAAAAATTGTACCGAAAATTCAAAACATCCAAAAGCATGTTTTGAGCATTTTCAGTACAAACACGTTAATTTCAGAAAGAAAGGGAAACGCCATTTTCTAACTTACCCTCTCTCCCTCCCCCGTAACTGAACAGTCTGAACTTCCTTCCTTCCTCTGGTTTACATTTTCTTCTCCCCTAAACCCACATCTCCCACGGCCTCCGTAAGGCGCTTCCCGACGCCGGTCCACCTCCAATTTCCCGAACGCCTTTCCAGCTCCGATTTCGACTCAGGTATTCTGTGTTTGATCTGTTATTTTTCTTTTGGTTATCACGTTTAATTTTTGAGAATTCGGAAGGTTTTCCCTAAACAAATTTTTAGAAATACTCCACTGACTTTGATTTTTAGAAATATATCACTCTCCCTTTCTCGAGGCCAAGTGTCCAGTGAATGGATATTGCTAGGCAGTTGGGGTGGAGGAAACGAGAGTTTAGATTTTGAATGAATTGACGATCATAGAGGCGGAGAATGAGTGAACGTGATGGAGATGAAGACGGGTTAAGTTCGGGTGTTCTTGTTCGATGAAATGCCGCTAAGAAGTTTTTTATTGAGGATGGAAGCCGGAATGGTTTGTGGACGATTGGTTTTTTAGTGGGAATTTGGCAAGTATGGATTACGTTTTATACTGGGTTTCTGCGATTCTACGAGCAATAGATTTCTGCTTTTAAGATATCCTGTATAATTCAATTTTTCTGCACTCTAGTTGGAGAGGGGAGGGGCAGGGGGAACTAGAAGAGAGATCAGTGAATTTGCAATTTGGAATGCAAATTTTGTTTTGCACAAATGGGTATCAAAACAATTGGATTTGACAAATCCATAGATATAAAATTCTTTCTCCATTCCTAGTCTATGGATCCGTTTACAACCTTAAATTCACTTTATTCTCAAACCTTGGAAGGTGTTGAACCAGAGGACAATAATGATTTTGACAAGTAATATGTTCATTTGACTTCAAATTTCTCATTTTTATTGTTGATAGATTAGAAAATGCGTTTGCTTAGCTAAAAATGAGAATTCATATGGGAATTACTGGAATGCTTGTTGAGGCTATGATACGCAGCACCTTGAGCCTTATCTTGATGGACTTCATCTTAAAAGATGGGAAGATGTGCTTGTTTCTTTTAGATTCAATTATTTTCTCAAACTTGTTTTTGTCTCACTTTTTTTATAGTCACTACTACTGCTAATTCGGATAATTACATACATGGCAGGCAACTGCTGGAATCCTCTCGAAAATTACAACTTTTGGACAAGATGATGGTCAAACTTAAAGAGCAGGGCCACATAGTTCTGATATATCCTCAATTTCAGCATATGTTGGATTTATTAGAAGACTGTTGTAGTCATAGGGTATGAACGGTGAATTAGGTTTATTTAATTTAATTTAAACATGAGAAGAAGGAATCTAGAAATGTTATCTGAAACTCTCTTTTATTTGTCAGAAATGGAAATGGCATTATGAAATAATAAGGTTGGTTGGTGGAGCAGAAAGACAAATTCGAATAGATAGGTTTAATGCAAAGAATTCATCGAGATTTTGTTTTCTTCTATATACTAGAGCTGGTGGTTTAGGCGTAAACCTTGCAAATGCGCGCACAGTAATCATATATGACAGGTGAAATTTGCAAGTTATGGTTTAATGACATTTTTTCCTCCTGAGTTATCGGGAATTCTGTGCTGTATCAATTTCTTTATTCTGTCCATTTTGACTTGTGTATGTGTTGACATACCAAAAGCGTAGCCCAAATCGAGTAGCCCAATGAATAAGATCCAGTTAGGAAGTCCATGATGAAGGTCCAAATAGGACCATTAATGAATTCAGTAGAGGCCCACAAATAAAGTACTGTAATTGCCCAAGTTTGCAAGACGCCCAAGATCTGAGCGAGTGGAGTGCCTTAAAATCACCCAAAGTGAACGAGCCTATTCTCGCCGAAACTTTCGAATCGCCCAAGATCTTAGTAAACATGAGGTAATATGATTATCCAGAACACCAGTTATTGAAGCGGTTATTGAGCAACCTTATCATACCCCCACGATCCAAGAATCACAGTTGTAGGTAGTTAAATGACGAAAGTAATGACAACAGTTAGAGACGGCAGTTCCACGACAAATCAGCCATCATGAAGATAGTTGGTAGTTATAGAGCAAACAAGCAGTGTCCAAACAGTTTGTCATGAAGAAATTCTCAAGTAAGTATAAAAAGAAGAGAAAACAAAGAGAAGAATATCCGGAATCAAACACTCTCAAACAAAGAATATGTAATTTCAATTTCTTAGATTAACTTTAATTATCCCTTTTCAGTATTCGTGCGCCCCTTGGAGGTATTCTGTTTATTTCCAATTGTAACTTTAATCAATAAAGCACCCATTTTTGGGACTTTATGTTAAGAGGTTTGACCCTTACACAATCGTCTGATCCCTTTTTTAATTGTTAGCGACAATTCACGCGAAACAATTTGGCACGCCCAGTAGGATATTGGTGTTTGGTGTAGAAAATACAAAAAAGTAAAGCCTTATGCCTCATAAAAATTCTAATAAGGAACCAGCAAATCAGGGAGTAGTCCAGTCTGTAATCGAGCGATATGCTACTCTCCACGAACAAGGGACAGAGTCAAAGCAGCCACAGTTGTTACGAACCAATGACAGAATTGAGTACTCGAACCATGCGTGCATTGTTGGGGGAACTCACACAGGATGTCGTTGAACAGGTAAATCTACAAAGAATTCATAATATGGAAAGATTTACCCAAAGTGGGAATGCACATTATGACAATATGACCAAACTACTGAATATATTAAATGAAATAATGAACAAGTTAGTAGGCCAAGTGTGTCAGCCAGTTATGCCTATTGCATTTCAAACCAGGATAATTGTGAGGCATAATTCACCACATAATTCTCCTAATTTGAACTTAAATCAAGGATTAGAACCACCATTTGGTCTGTCTACTCCAAACCAGAAGGGTAATGGAACGTCAAACTTGAATGGTGGTAATGAGATTACAAACCTGGGGGTACTCCAAATAGAAGAGACAATGTCCTGAATGATTGACAGAACGTCCCGCGCGTTAATGATGGTTTGAATACCCAGTTTAATAGTAATAATGGCCTAAACAATGACAATTTCATTGCCAACCAAGGACCAAATATTAGGCATCAAACAAATTAACCATTAAACCAACTTGTAGGAATTCCATATGATCCCAATGTTATGTTGATGAATCAAATTATGGAGATAGTACATGATCAAATGACTCTTGGGGTACATCCTGTCATTAGGCTTACTTACACGAAACCATATTCTGATTGGGTAAATCAAGTATATCCATGGCCTAGAGGGTACAAGGCGCCAAAATTTTCATTATTCACTGGTTTAGGAGAAGTGTCCACTCTAGAACATATAGGGCGATTCACCCTGTAAAGTGGTAAAGTGAACGACTATCATAAAATGATGTTGTTCCCTAGTTCATTAATAGGAGTAGCTTTCTCCTGATTCATCAACTTGCCAGCGAACTTTGTTCAAACATGGCAACAATTGAAACAATTGTTCCATGCTCAGTTTTACAAGATTGAATCTGAAGTTACTTTGGCTGATTTTGGCGAATTTACGTCAAATGCCAAATGAATGGGCATAATGTTTCTTTTAAAGGTTCAAGACATCAAGAAGTAAATGTTTCGTACCTTTGCCCGAAAATGAGTTTGTCAAAATCGTTCAAAGTTGTCTAACCTTTGATTTGAAAAAGAAATTCCAAGACAGGAAATTTCCTGATATTTTCTAATTGAGCGCAAACGTGATTATGTATGAACGATTAATAAGAGAAGAAGAGCACATGAAAAATTCTAACAAGGGGACTTATTATAGAGACCCAAATTTTGATATTCATATCATTAATGATGAGTATTACGATCAAATCGAAGTATGTTTGGCCAAATTAATCAAAGGAGATACGTATATTTGTCCTATAATGGCTAAGCCTAGAGCGTCGGGCAAAGACGAGCCTATAAAAGATGAAAACAAAAAGGTTAAAACGTTCTCGTTCGATGTAATCAAATCTGACCTTATATTTGATAAATTATATAATGATAAGCAGATAAAACTGAGCGATAGACATAAGTTGACAAGCTTTGAACAAATTAAGGGTAAAAAATATTGTAAGTGACATAATGCATGGTTACATTTGACTAACAACTGTTTGGTTTTTTGCCATGTGTTACAGGATGCCATTGAATCAGGACGAATTACGTTCGAAGATAAGAAAAAGATGACAGTGGATGAGAACCCTTTCCTACAGCCACTTGGAGTGAATATGGTGACGATTGGTTTCAAAAACAAAATGCCAAGGTTCTAATTGGATGTAGACAACGGAGAAGAAGATTTTGGGCCACATTGGTCATAGATGACGGAGAAGAGTGCGACAATGATGAGGTCAACATTGTGACTTCTGATCAAGCTCCTGGGCACGACGATATAGACTAGGAACTCCCTATCTCGAGCCCATTTTTTGATGATATGTAAATTTCAAATATTTTACAAGTAAATTGGTCGAAGACTTTTGGGCTTTTATGTTTTCAATGTTAATAATATGCTTGCTCGTGCATGTGTACGTCTCGATCATATAATCATTAATTTGGCACGATGACTAATTTGAACGGCGACTTGTATGTGCTTGAGCTTGTAAAATGGTTTGTAATAGTCTTTGGCTCGACCTTTGGTTCGAGCCTAGCCCAAAGTAAATGATCTTGAGCTTGGAGGCTTCGTTAAAGGCTTGTTTTGGGCTGGCTCGAACCAATGTTTTTCAGGTGTCTGCTCGTGACAGGTCTTTAAGGTGCATGCTCATGGCATGTCTCTGAGGTACCTACTTGTGATAGGTCTTTAAGGTGCATGCTCATGGCATGTCTTTTAGGTGCTTGCTCATGATAGATCTTTAAGGTGCATGCTCATGGCATATTTTCGAGGTAATCACTTGGATTAAAAATTTGTTGGGTCTTTCCCAACCGTTACTTTATATAAACTTTCATATGCTTTAAAACAAGTATAGGCCAACATGACTTGACGAATAACTACTAAAAAAAATGTGTGGGGCATGCAAGCCCAATAAAAAAAGAGATTGTCAGTATTCCAAGGTCTTGGTAGCGGTCTTCCAGACATATCCCTCAAACTGTATGCTCCTCCTCAAACTTGTCTAATGACCTTATAGGGTCCTTCCCATGCTGGGCCAAGCTTTCACGGACACATGGAGTGCTTGACCAACATGCCTACAAAAAAGGGGTACAAGGGCCACCTAAGCCCGACCTTTAGAGTATCCCTAAAAATTACAAACTCTTTTTCTCGAGCCTGTACAATCCTATCCTCGGGATCGGGAGATCTAATATCACAAAAGGCATGATCCTGAACTCTCTAGCAGCCCCCAAGGCCAGGTGTTCCTTAAACCTACAGGGTTCATTGGGAAATTTAAGCTCGACGCTATTTTGGTATCTAGGTCGGGCATCTAAAGGCACTACCATTGGTATGATCAAGTTCCCACTGTCTTCACTACTACTCGACCTATCAGACCATCAATCACTCGCACTGGTAGACATCACTAAAGAAAAACTAAGGAAATAACTTAAAGTCTCGAGCCTTACTTTAAAATCACTCGAAGCCCCAAAGAATTCCTAAGGAGATTGCTCGAGCACGACCTTGCAGAGAGAAATTTACAGTGAAGTGAAAAGTGAAAGGTAAAAGAGGTATTTATAAGCGTTGAACTAGAAGCCCAAAGGTCACCACCTGGGCCGTTGGATCTTGCCACGTGTCAACCATCCAATGACCTTTAGTAACCTCCATACTTTACCTCGAGCAATTAGCTCTCCTGAAAGGATGTCATCGAGCAATCTCGACCCATATGGAACACGAGCACCCTTCTCGCCTGTGATTATGTATCAAACTTATGTACATCCACCCCTAATTCTCGAGCTTTAAGAATGAATGTAGGGGGGCCAGTGATGTGGTCACAATTGTGTACCTCGAGCTAGATGACTCATAGGAATCGTATTTTGCTATTATAAGATTTATGTGCTCAAGCATCATCAGTCCTCAGGATACCTCGAGGACACCCAGTTAGTGCCTGCGACACTTATGTTGGTTATCCTCGGGGTGAGTCCTCAGGAAATTCCCTTGGCCAAATTCCCAATTTCATTCATGCTCAAGCACGGATAGTTCCCACCTCTTAAGAACTCTAACCCCATCCAATTACTTAAATTCAAGAATCCTAGGTCCAGAAGTAGTATATCTTGAAAAATACTGTAGATAATGTATGATTAGACTTATGATTGTGACCCAACACTTTCCCCAATTAGAATTTCGATGTCAAGTCCTACTAGGAATGTACTACCTATCTCTATAATTATAAAACCATGGATCATTATTCAGGTACGTTTCTACATATAATTTCAGCACTCAAACTTTTTGCACATTCTTTCTCTGACTTAAGCATCGGAGGGATGATAAGGATACACATCGACATCTTTATTTCAGGTACCGGAAGATTACGTTCGTTCTCATTTTCAGTTGTCAAGCTTGGAATTCAAAATGTGAGACTTTTGCAGCATCAGTTAGTATGTCATTGGACTCTTGCCAATTTGACCACCCTAGCAATCCAATCTTTTTCACAAGTTGAGTGACAAATTTGATGCCAAAAAAATGAAAAAAAGGAAAAATCGAAATCCGCATGAAACATAACTAGGGCTGTTCGTGGGTCGGTTCGGTTCGGTTCTGAAGATACCCGAACCGACCCAAAACTTTCGGGTATTTAATAAATGGACCCGTCGGGTCCAAATATAATTTTGGAACCGTTCGGGATCGGTTCNTACTAAAAAGTAGATATTAATATTACAGCAAAACTATATAAAGTATATTCATTTGCTTCAAATTAAAATGGGTTAATGGGTTTTAAAAATGATTTGGACTTTAAAATTACAATTACGAAATAATCTGATTTATTTAATTAATTTGTTAATTTGTATGAAAAAAATAAAATAATTTAATTAATTCAATATAAAAAATAAAAAAATTATTTAGTTTCGGTTCTTATTCGATTCTTCGGTTCTTGGTCTAGACCCGAAACCCGACCCAAACCCATCGGTTCTCGATTCGGGTACCCGTTCGGGTATTTAATTTATGAATAACCGCTCGATTCGGTTCGGTTCGAGTTCGGTTCCGTCCGGTTCGATTCGGGACTTTTGGACACCCCTAAACATAACTACAAGTTGTTAATTCCTTTCTTCTTTACCCAAGCATAGGACTAGTAGCATTTTGTGATGGCTTCAAAATAATATATTAAGCTCATCTAGTATCTCACGATATGTTTTTGTGCTCAATTATTTTTCTTGTCATGTACACAATAAAGTGAATAGTTATAATTTTTCGAATATTGAAGTATTAAACAGGCACACATCAATTGAAAACAAACCATTTTATATTGGTCTATGAGGAAATATTATATCACAATAATATTATCGTATATTAAATTAGAGATTATTTTAAATTTTTTAATTAATCAGTGAATATATTTAACCTTGTCTATGTGGTACGATTAATCAAAAACAAATATTTTAAATACATACGGTCAAAGTGATATGAATATGGAACAAAACAATTTATTGGATTTCTTCCCAAAATAAGATGGAACCACTAAACATTTTTCAAATAATTTGGAAAAAGAAATCTTTCCCTATATAGGCAAATCCTTTGGATTGTAGTCGTTTTGTGACCTAACAACAGGCAACAGCACGATCAGTGACGATGGCAATTTAGTAAATTACTGACCTAGCCAGGGCAGTGTTGCAACCGACATTATATATTTTGGTTGTATGTTAATCACAAATGGTCACTGAAGTTTGAGTGAATTTTTAAATTGGTCACTTTTCGATTTATTTAACCCTAAAGTCAAATAATGTTACATAATGGGACAATTCATTAACGACAACCACTTCAGATCTGACTTTCATCCATTAAACCTTGACATCGACTAATATGTTACATAGTATTTTAAAACAAAACGTAATTCTGAGAAGAGGAAAACCTCAAATTCAATAAAAAAAAATCTCAAATCTCTTTCCTTAAACCTTTTCCCCTATTTTTCATCATTAATAAATTATAAAAATGTGACAAAAGAGTTAAAACTTTAATATAAAATATTTTAACAACTAATTTGTCATTTATCTCGAACATCAAGGACCATTATTGCAATTAACTCGTTTTGATTTTTTATGAGCGAAATGGCCTGTCCCTTTCGTTCAATCCCGTTTCTTAGTTTGGACGCAGGCTGATAACCGGTGGATAGAATTTGCCAGTATATATACATACATACGGTTCTCTCTCTTCGAGACCTATCGCGATCTACCTACAGGAAAATTACTGAATTAATTACTAATAAATTAAATCGGTTGTTTAATTAAACCTCTTGTTTTACGAATTCAGGAGGAGTTCGATAATTGATTTCTCATCGTTTTTCAAAAGGTTTGTGTTTTTACAATTCCATTTCATGAATTGGCTTTGTTGATTTTTAATTTTTATGTCCTTATAATTGATTTGGTTTGAGAATCATAGGGTTCTATTTATCTTTGCGCGTACTACTTTTTGGAGTGAAGATTAGTGCATCTTTTTCTCCTTTTGTGTTTATGGTTTTCAGTTTAACATGTACGCCTTGCGGTTTGGTGTAAATATGAAGATTTAATACTGCTTTGTGAAAACATGATCTTTTTAGCCTCTGGCGTTTCGTAGCTGTTTATTGATTATTACAGGCATATTGCTGTTTGTATTGATGATTTTTTTCTTGGCATTATATCTTAATATTACTTTTTATGCGAAAACATGAAAGATGGTGTTTTGTCTTGGTAGTTCTGTGTCAAAAATTAATAATCTTTTGTTTTTATGATTCTGTTGTTTCTATAGCGGCAGTAATATTTTCTTCATATTTTCTGTTTTGGTTACTATAAATGGAATTATTTTCTTCATCTTTTCCATTGCTTTCGGTGAACTCGCCTGGAATCTATATTTTGTTTTCCTCTTTCTAAACATAAATGCTTTGTCTCCATATAATCATATTCTTAAGCCAACTAGACAAATCCAAATGAAGAAATAAAAACAAACAGACAGAGATGAATGTGGACTATGATTCCTGTTGAACATATTTAAGTTGTAAGTCAATTACCTGGGGTTAATTTCTTTTAGCACACCTTCATGTCACTTTGTCAAAATGGAGAAAATTTGGTTGAGGATGTGTGAGATAAGGGAAAGAAGAGAGAAGAAAAGAGAAGGTTCTCTAGATCTAGAAGATTCGCTTGGAGCTCTTCACTTTCACTTGGTTGCCTGATATCTTCAAATCTCTTTGCTTGCGGGGGCAGGAGTGAAAATGTTAAATTAATCATTAAGATAAGTGTCAATATGTCAGAAAATTATGGAATGTTACGAAGGATGTTTAACAATGCTGCGTGACACCTAGGCTAAGTTGCCTTTCATTTTCCATGAATGCGTGGCTTTGGTGGAACTCGGTATTTGGATTCTTGCACGTTAGCTGGCAGTTAGTTGCGTGCCTTTCCAGTTAGGATTGGCAATTTATTTCCCTATGAAATACAAAGGTTTTTCACTTGTTTGTGATTCTATAATGACATGTGCCCAGTTGAGATATGCTTGTCCATGCCACCAGGGTCTGTATTGTACTTGCTGTCAGGTGAAGGCATTAGGCGAGTAGTGGGGCATATACCCAAAGGCATGGATATGCCCTAACGTACATCCAAATTTTTAGTGTTTTATACATAGAAAATTGTATTAAGAATAAGAAATGTACAAAAATACGGGTAATTTTAGAAATTATTGAAATTTCAGAAAAATTATGGAAAACTCATAGGAGAAATTGCACATAAGGGATGTTTTAATGTTTATAAACAGTTGATGTCAATTGACAAGGAAAGAGCTTTTCAGGATCAGTGGAAGGCCAATACTAACACCATTAAATTTGTTGCCTTGAAGCCGGATGCTTTTCAAGGTGAAGGAAGACAAGTTTTCTCTTTAGGCAAGCCATTCTGAAGAAGTTTATACATCCTAATCCAGTCTGAAAAAAATTATTAATACTAATTTCTACTTTTCCGTAGGTTAAAGCGTGTTTCTGTTTTATTTATTAAATTTTCAGGCCACAAAAGTGATATTACTATATGTCTGAATTTGCTTTGGTTCCTGTATCTAGGTTTTCTTTCCATCTCCTCTCTCTTTAAAACAATAACAAACAAAGAATTTTCTCCAATAGATTTTGATATTGGCTTCAGCCTTCATGAAAGAATTTTTATTGCTCCTTGTGGTTCATAACTGCATTTATTGAAAGATTCAATGCAATTGGATTATTAACAACTACAAAATTGATTCCCAACAATGTGCCAGCGGAGCTTGGGGCGCGTGAAACTCGTCACTACCTCATAAGGGTGTTGAGACCATAGCTTGTTGCACGAAAGTGTTACTTTCTTTAGTATTGTCACACAGCCATGCCTAGAAGTACTACTCGCTTTGTAGTTGTTGTGATAAGCACGTTGCCCACCTTCTGGCTAGAATTGAAGCTCTTTTTCGGTTAACTGTCCACCTTCCATTTCCTCATAAATTTGATATTAGCTCATGAATAAATTCTTGCCACTCCATTGGTTCCGTAACTATATCTATCGAGAGATTCAATGCAATTGGATTCTTAATAACCAGAAGATCAATTCCGAACTAAAAGCATACGGTAAGGAAGTTTAAAACAAATAATAGTTTAGCTTAATGGCTAAACGAAAATGGATACTATTATTCAATTTCTAAAACTTCATCATCCAAAGTGTGCTCTATTCTTTTTCTTCCCCCACAGCTTCTAAATTCAGTTTTGTGTTTTGGTGAACAACCACCGTGTCCACCTAATCTAATTCCTCGTCATTGATATAAAATAATAATGTAATTATCTTATAAAATGTAAATGGTAAATTAGAGCATAAAATAAATGAAAAGATTTTCTGGTCTTGCATACTCCGCTTTCTATGGAGTTAGTTCATTTTAAGGATGACAATTATTAACCTTGGGTAGCTGGAGTTGGCTTTGTGTAATATGAAGCAAACCCATAGTTTTTTGTTTTGTTTTGTTTTGTTAGGCCATATAACGTTAGTTGATTCTCCAATAAGACCCAATAGCCACTTGAAAGGCATACACTTAAATTGCATTTTACAACATTGTTCCACTTATCAAATAAGAAGTCTTATATTTGTTGGTATAGGATATGAAATATATAGTGCATATCATCTGTGTGGTTCCATTTATGTAGCGATCATGGCCCCCATTAAGAGTAAAATAATTGATTAAACAAATGACGCTATAACTTTTGAATGCCTCCTTGAAATAAGTTTAGTTTCTTGAAAGATATATGCATGGTTTAAAAAGGCGGTAGTGAGGTGCATGTAATATGCCTCGAGACGGTATTTTTGGGGCTAAGGCGTGCGCCTCATTTATAATTTGATTTTTCAATTGTATGAAACGAAATCAGAAAGGGTCATTCTTAAAAAAGAAAATGGCCCATTTAAAAAGGTATTTTGGGCACAAACAAAACAATAAAATACTTAAAAAGATTATGGAAAAATTAAATATGATGATGATTTCATTAACAATGCTATTAATAGGGATAATAGTGCAAAGTTTGAGCTGCTTATTTTTTTCATTGCAGACGGAGTGATTTTTAACTTCCGTAACGCTTTTTTTTTTTTTTTTACTAAACATCTTCTTTGTTTAGGTGGACTATATCTCAATATGCTAATAGCTATATGTCCTATTTACTATATGCTGCAACTTTTTTTTTTTTGGTATTATTTTATAATTCTTTTATTTAGATTTTTTTTTGTGAGGTTTACACCTCGCCTCATAAAGAAAAATCGCATCAGTACTTAGTTTCGCCTTTTTAAACCTTGGATATATGATTATTGCTATGGATAATGCCCTTAAATTTTCTTGTCAAAAAATTCCAAAATTTGGGTCTCAATGTACATGTTACTATGTTAGTACCACATGTAATTAAAGAAAAAAAGGTTTCATTTAGGCCTGCTCACTTCATCTTCAAGCACCGTGTTGGTATGCATGCTTGCTTGCACGTTTGGCTACTTGTACCAATATGTTAGACGCACCTGCAAATGAGTGTCTTTTAACTTCTGCTTGCTATTTCTAGGTGACTTGTTAGTTAACATATTTAATTTAGGGAAAATTGTAGCAGCAGCGATCCCTAACATTTTCAGTTTTTGCGGACTTTACTACAACCTTCAGTTTATGCCAACGAAGGACCCAACTTTTCAAAAATATGCAGCTATGGGCCAAATGGATGGTTTGACCGTTAGTTGACCAAGAAAAGTGGACTTTGATCAATTTTAACCAAATTAATAGGGGTAAAATGGTAATTTTAGAATTACCACATTAAATACAAAAAAAGGGGGATCATCACCCCTATCCCATCCCTTTTCCCACCGCAACCACCGACGATAGGTTGGCCACAACCACCTAATACCATTAATTTTTGGCCCCTAAAAAGCCAACAATTCGATGGCTGGAGCTGATTAATTTTTAGGCCCCCAGAATCCAATAATTTCTTTCCAGGATTAAATTTTGGCCAAATTCAATTGCTAGAGCTCATTTTGGGATGGGAGTGATGGCAACATTATGCACCATTCCAGTGGAATTTATCTAAACCACTACCCCTCCGTCCTAGATAAATTTGAGATCTCAAAGCCTGAAAAGCGAAATTGGTATGTATTAGTTTATGTTTGAAACTCCCAAATCACAATTGATGCTCCAGCAGCAGTTGATCCTGTTTGGAGGGCTCGCCGTAAATGGGCTCCGGTCCTCGTATGAGGCCTCCGGCGGCGAGAGCAGTATTCTGCAGATGCCTAAGTCTTAATAATGGCGACCATGATTAAGTCGTTGATGGGTTCTTCCAATCTACTAATCTGGATAGCTTTTTCTTCTTTCATTCTTTTTTCCAGCCAAGAAAAGCAGACACCCAAAATCGCTTCTTCTTTCTCTCACACACACACAAGGATTTATAAGAACTTTAGGGGGTATAGCGAAGTTAGATCGATTAATTTGATATACTGCCAGATTCTGTTGAGGTTGGTGGATGTGAGGCGTGAAGGTTTTGTGGCGATGGCAGCAAGATTTTCATTCGAGGAATGAAGGCTTTGGTTTTGATTTCTCGAGGAGTGCTGATTTTGGTGGGATGGCCGGAGTCTTGTGGATCGTGCCTGTGATGGCCAGTAGTGGAGGAGCCGCTATTGTCTAGGGTAGGTTGGGGAAGATGACCTTTTGAATAGGGTTTGGTTTTTTAATTTTTTTGATTTAATTTTTTGATTTATATAAAATATAAATTTACTATTTTAACCTTTTAAAATTGGTCAATCATTTGATTTTTGGTCAACTAACGGTCAAATTCCATTCATTTGGATTCCAACTGCATATTTTTGAAAGGTTAGGGATGTAAAGTCTACAAAAATTGGAAAGGTTAGGGACTGCTGATGCAATTTTTCCTTTAATTCATTTCTCAGGTGCATTGTGTCAGTTTTTATTTTGGATGTGGTCCCCTGTAGAAGTACTTGTCAAAAATTGGATATATGCATTGCTTCTACCGAACCTTAAGATCCTTGATTTTCTTCGGATTCAAAGCTCATGATAATCATATTGAACTTCTCTCTACTCTGATTGGTTTATGATTTAGGTCTCACATCATGTCCCATCATCTAGAAAACAACGATGATTACATGGAAGATGAACATGAAATGGAAGATGTGGATGATGACATGGGTGATGAGTTCCATGGTCAAGATGATGGTGGCTCAGATTCTGATGCGGATGAGTATGGTTACATGGTCTGTTCAAAATCTCTCTGTCTGAGCTCAATTGTTTATGTCCATAATGCGTAGGAGTCATCAACCTTCATCAATTCTTGCTGCTAACTGTTCTTTTTCCTTTGGCTGTACAGAGTGATAGAATGCAAGATACTACTGCCGCTCAAGCTAGGAGAGGCAAAGATATTCAAGGGATTCCTTGGGATAGGCTCAGCATAACAAGGGAGAAGTATAGGCAGACTAGAATCGAACAGTACAAGAATTATGAGAACATTCCTCAATCTGGAGAAGCATCAGGCAAGGTAAACTGTTTCATTTTGCTTTTAAAAAAGTCCCTTCTTGTTTCTCCTGAGAAAAAAATTTTGGTTCAGTGAATTATTTTTATTTGTTTTGTTTACAAACTTTGTATGCCTTTTTCTTCTTGTGAATAGGATTGCAAAACCACAGATAAAAACGGCTTGTATTATGAATTCAGACGCAATTCGAGATCTGTGAAATCAACAATCTTGCATTTCCAGGTCAGTGACGAATTTTTATCTTCAAAGTTGCTTCATCAACTAGATAAATTTTACTTTCTCCCTATATGTTTTTCTTTAATCTGCATCTGTTAATTTGGATATTTAATGATTAGTAGGAAGTCTTTTCTTTCTCGGTTCTATGAGTTTCTGTATTTGATATCGTAGTCTGCTGATGTAACTTTTTAATGTTGAATATTGTTTATCACGTTTTAAATGGTGGCATTACTTTTTAAGTTATTTGTGTAGTTTTAGATATCGTATCAATTACATTCGAGGGGATTATACGCTGTTGTAATTAGATTACTCGAATGGATAACTGTTTGAGATTTGGAAAATGCTTATTACAGGGTACTTACAAAAATACCCTTAAAATTAGGGTTGTTTTGAAAAATTATGTGATAGGTTTTTAGGAAGTAAAAAATACTGTGTTAAATGAAAAAGTGATACCAAAGTTTAAAAAGGCGAAACTAATAATTGAGGCGGTTTTTCTTTATGAGGCGAGACGTAAGCCTCGAGGCGGATTGAGGCGTAAGTCTCACAAAAAACAAAAAAATCGAAGTAAAAGAATTATAAAATAATACAAAAATACAAAAAAAACTAGAAGAAAGCTGGCTATGGTGGATCATCATAAATCTGGGTATAATGTATTTTTGCATGAAGATTTGACAATGATGTGGGGATATTGAAGAGATGTTGCAGATTAAGAAGTATGGATACATGAGCTTTAGAGTTTGTACAAGTGATTGGATGAAATCGTGTGTGTTAATTATATAAATAAAAACATTTATAAAATTTATAATTTTCAGATGAGTATATGAAACAACTAATTACATGCAAGATTTACTGAACCCTAAGAAGAAGAAGAAGAAGAAGAAAAAGAAAAGAAAAACATACATGATGAACTGAAGAAGAAGATGCTTTTCTTGAATTCTGACTTTTGAATTTCTGTTGGATCTGTTCCCTTTTTGGTCCTCTAATTTTTGGCTACCATTTAGTTTTTTAGGTATTTTATTATTTTGTTTAGGCCCAAAACACCTTTTTAAATGAGCCATTTTCTTTTTTAAAAAGGGCATTTTCTAATTTCTTTTCATACAATTGAAAAATCAAATTTTAAATGAGGCGCTCACCTTGAGACGTGCGCCTCATATTTAAAGGCGTGAGCCTCATATTTTTAGTCTCAAAAATACCACTTCAATGCATACTACATAAGCCTCACAATGAGGCGGGCCTCACTACCGCCTTTTTAAACCATGAGTGATACAATGTCACATTTTTATAAAAATTGTTACTTTTTTTTACTTTTTTTAAAAAAGTGACAAAAACTAAAAAAAAGTGACACACACTCAAAAAGTTATACAAATTAAAAAAAGTGACAAACCATCAATCAAAACATATGTTTGTTATTCAAAAAAGTCATAGAAATTTTTAAAAAGTAACAAACAATAAAAAGTGAAAAAAAATTCAAAAAAATGGCCGAAAAAAGTGACAAAAAACTAAAAAAAAAAGTTACAAACATACAAAAAATTGATAAAATTGTCACTTTTAAAAAAAGTGGCACAATGTCATTTTTAAAAGTTTAGTGTCATTTTTTATTATACAATCTCACTTTTATTAAAAAGTGATGTTTGTTACTAAAAAAGTAATAGAAATTTCAAAAAGGGGATTGAAAAAAAAGTGACATACTAAAAATAAAGACAAAAATTCAAAAGAAAGCGACAAATACTAAAAATGTGACAAAAATTAAAAAAAAAATTCTCGACAAAGTTTTGAAACATAAAATTCATCTACAACCGACGAGCTTGACCTTCCATTTTCAATTTTTTAAGGCATATGCCTTAAGGCCTCGTATAAGGTGACAAAAAACTAAAAAAAGTAACAATCTAAAAAAGTGACACAGAGTCACTTTTATGCAACAAGCAAATTACATTTGCATCTTTCTGTAATATTTTTGATGTCACAATTTTTGTGGAGGAAGCCAACACGAATATAACTACAATTTCTAGTAACCAGAATACAAATATCATGGGCCGACATTTGGATATTTACATAGTAATGTGTATGATGTACATGTTGCACCAAACCAAAACATAAAACACATATTAAAGCGTTAATTTGATATGTAGCCCCAAAATTACATCATTAAAGCGTCTACTGCAATCTATCGAAACAGGTGTGATGCCAAAAAATCATAGATTATTTTGTAAATAAAAACCTCATTGAGAAACACAAAAAAACTCGTAAGAACAAGATAATGTACACAATGAAAGCAGCCACCTCCTTCATTTGCATTAATCTTCCACCAGTGGTCTAAAGCGCAGTAGCAGTAATGGAGAGTGAAAATCCCAGAATCCTACGGCATGAGCCACTGGTGTATTCCTCTTAGCGAAAAGATCCTCAAATTGATAGGTCCAAAAATAATCTGTAATCGTCAAATTACAGCAGCCTTTACACTCCCATTTTTTATTGCACATTTTCTTCCCCTTCACCTTCTTCACCACCGACTACGGAGTTGATGATTCTTCCTCGCTCGCAATAACAGCCACAGCAAGGACCACCATCAAACACCCAATACCAGCCATTTTTTAGTCCATTCTTTTGCTACTAAACAAAAAGGAAATACCACAAATTATCGAGTAACTCCACAAGGAAAATGTGAGAAGAATGGGTAAAAAGGAAATAATAAAGGAAATGGAGATTTACATTTGGATTTTGGTCGGAGAGAAGGAATCGCACCTTGAGTTTGGATTTTGCTCCGGAGGATTTCCACAAATGAGGCATTTATGGGGGTTTGGGATTGCTGTAGAATCGGGTTTGGGTTTGATTTTAGGACGTAAATAATACTTCTTTCAAAGGTTTAATTAATTTAAAGGGTATTAATCAAAACACTTTAAAAAATAGGGTATATGGCCTAATTATTATGAGCAATCTGAATGAGATTTTTAAAGTTCATGTTAACGTAGGTATGAAAGATGACTCCTACACCTATGGATGTTATCAACTATAAGATAACAGCTGTCTTGATTTCCCACCAGGAGCAGGCTATTAAAACAGATGAAACTCAAATTAGTGAAGATGATGAATATTCACAGTTATATTATGTGCACGACCAGTTGAACTTACATAGGATTTTTTTCCATATTCATATATGCTGATTTGCTCTGGTTTGTGTTTATTTACATTTGAAGAGGTAACAGTTAACCTGGCTCTTAACTATGAGCCTCCATAACAAAAAAAGCGCATAATGGGAAGAAGGGAAAAAGTTCAGCAAAAGGTGAAGGGGAAAGAATGAGCTGACAGGGAACAGGGGCTTCCGTTTGCATGATCCTTCTATTGTTATTTAATCTTCTTTGTTCTAATTTTTTTGTGGCTTATGTTTGCTTTACAAGCTCAATAGCTGAAACTCACATTCTTTGCTTGATGATGCAGTTGAGAAATTTGGTATGGGCCACATCAAAGCACGATGTTTACCTAATGTCTCGTTTCTCAGTTTTGCATTGGTCATCCTTGACTTGCAGTAAGTCTGAAGTTCTTAATGCCTCAGGACATATAGCACCTTCTGAGGTGAGTATTATTGTTCCCATATATGTTACATTTCTAGGTGCTCTCTTCTCTCTCCTCCAATATTGGAGCTACCACCAGTCCAATTCAGGACTACAAGTTATCCCTTTCCCACTATTGCAGAAACATCCTGGAAGCCTGTTGGAAGGATTTACACAAACCCATGTCAGCACACTAGCTGTGAAGAATAAGCTTCTGGTTGCTGGAGGATTTCAGGGAGAACTTATATGCAAGGTTTATATTGTTAATTTTACTTTTTTATTTAGTTATATAATATTGTTGCAGTATCTGTTTGTGTTGGCATTACCAGCATTTGCCTATTGAGAAGCTGATAGGCGCTTCATTTGTGATAGTTGCTTGATTACCACGATTGGTGTATTTATTGAAAGCAATTATATGAGAAGGGGAAAGGGAAGAGAAAGAGAGGAGGGGAAAAAGAGAGAAGAAGAGAGAAATTGGGGGAGAATATCAATTTATTTCATTATCAAAGTTGTTTTTATTATAAAGCTTAGGTCACCTTAATGTAGGGTTTCAAAAGATCCTATTCTAAGTACGAAATACTAAAAAAGAATATCAATTTATTTCATTATCAAATTTGTTTTTATTATAATGCAAAAGTTACTTACCTTTATATAGGGTTTCAAAACATCTTATTCTAAGTAGGAAATACTAAAAAATTCAACTCTAATTATATTTCCTAAAATAAACATCAAAATTAGAAATTAAATATAATAATATCTCTTCTAATATTTCATCATTTCTCTCCGATGAGAGAACTTGACTCCGATGAGAAAGAATGCAACATTTTGGCCAAGGAAGACCATCTTTCTTCCTCATCAAATAACGAAATCAATCATGTGAAACAAATGAATCTAAAATTCATTCCTAAGCATGTGACTTAACAAAGGAGGACGATCTTTCTTCTTAACGAATTAAGGATGAAGAACTTCGAGAAGCAACAACTTGTGCAATTCACCCATAAAAACTATCACATAATTCACAGGAGAAGCACAAAGCACTATCATAGTAGGTTGTCATGTAGAAACAAATGAATTTAATAATAGTGGCTCGAATGTATCTTGATAAGGAAACAATTTTGCTATATTGAAGACAAAACATTCATTTAAATGTAATTACCAATCAAATAGATTAGTTTTAAGCGAGTGCTCCAATTTTTTCTTTGCATGTTTTGGAAATCGTACCAAAAAAAAAAAAAGCCATAATAAGACAAAAATCATCATGAAAGTATATGTATCTAATCGTGAGTCAGATGCAAGCTCATAGGAGTCATGACTAAAAATAACTTGTAAATTAAACTCGGCATGAAAATCAACAAAGTACGAAGCTAAAGCAATATGGAATTAGTTGTTAATAATCAAATGTCGATAGAAAAAGTGTGTGAACGAACAAAGACCTTGAAAGACAGGGCAACTCAGGGGGTATCATATAATGGAGTTAAAGCCATAATATAGTCAACCTTACAGTCACACGAAAGACTACACAAGAAATACTTCAACACGAAATTGGGGACAAGTATACTATTTGACTTAGGTGGTAATACTATAGATAATTCCTCATCATTGCTATCAAAATATTCAACTGACCCCACAACAGAAACCTCGATTTCTTCCTCAAAAGTAACACAACTAGACTCGGGAGGTGACTGTCGAGACTGGGGTTATGGACCTAGCTTAAGACATGCTTGGCGAAGATGGAAGGATATGTTCCATAAGTTGGCTTGTTGATAAGCTTCATTTGAGGATTGAGGTGTGGGAATGTAATGGGGTATGCTTTCAGGTTTCAAACTGTTAAGAAACCTAGATGCTGTAACATGGAAAACTTCATAAATATCACAATTGTGTGATAACTATTCGAAGTGGGCTAAATATTCTCTAACGGTGGAAGTACCTTGTCTACGTTGCAAAAAGAATTAATATAACAATTGAATTTTGTAGTACACAAGAGTGTATCTATTACTTAAGACTCGTTTTATCTCATCCCATGAAGTGACAAAGCATTGATCTAGGAGATCAACGTCCCTCAAAAAGGAATTTCAATAACGTCTAGTAGAGTCGACAAGTTCCATATTAGCACGACAAAGTCGACATGAGTCACTCAAGTTGTGAACGTCAAAAAATTTCTCTAGAGTATCTAGCCAATCAACAAATGAGTCTAGTGAGACCATTAAGGTCACATAATTGGAATGCGAGTTGCCTTGAAGGAGAATTTACGTCCTTAACAAAGTTCTTAGATGGAGGATAATTGTGTTGATAAGTGCAAAGATTTGGGACATGATCGTTGTTGTGACCTAAGGGCGTGTTATAGGTGTAAAATGTATTATATTACTTTTTTTCATTTATTATTATTATTATTTTTAATTTTACGTTTTTTAAAAAAATTTAGATTTGATGGCCACAAACACTTAAATAGAAAGTAGAGCTTTTAAATAACGTAATTGGTTTACCTTACAAGAGTCAAATTGAGTCGTAGGTGTTGCACAATATATGCAGTTCCCATTCTGCTAACAAATGGATTGCCAGAATGTTAAGGTGTGAAAAGTTGTTTCAGCCCTATCCGGTTGATCTCAGTGGTGTATATTGTGTCTGGTGTATATGGTCTGGTTTCTAGTGGTTCTTGGCGGTGAAGATTCTGTTGGAGGTAGATGTGGCGGTGTTCGCCATTGTGGTTTGGTGGCAGTTGGTGCAGGTCAGGTTTTGTATATAAAGGATGGGACGATGGAGCAGATTGCCGAAGCTGGATGGATTGGCAGTGTAACGTGGGTAGGGTTGAAGGTGAAGGAGATGTTGAGCTGGGTAGAGTATTAGTTACGAAAATGAATGGTTTGGCTGCTTGGGTTGTCGGTGAGGAGGAAGAGGAGCTGAGGACGAGAACAATGGGTTCTGTAGAAGAGATTGATGACTAGAAGACTTTGGATTGGTAGGTTGAGGTAGACTGTGACGGTTGGTGGAGATAGATAGTAGTGATGGGTTTATGGGTTGATGGCGCTGGAAAATGGAACATTGGATGGATAGAGAGGGAGGACAGGACCCAATTCCTATATTGTATTTGAGGGTATGATTTGTGGTACTGATGGGTTGTGGGTTGTTTATAATGGGTTGGGATATGGGATGTTAAGTGGGTTATAATTTATATGTGATGGGGTGATTTGTTGAGCTATGGATAAAGTGTGGGTTTGAGTGTGTTGTGGGTACTGGGCTAGGGTGTATCTTGATTTGTGAATTCTTTTGGGCTTTTTTGGTTGTAATGTTATGGGGCTCCTATGTTGCTCGGACTCGGGTACGGGTATCGGGTACGGGTATGTATTTAAGTGTCGGATCTTTTATTTTTTAAAATGGAGGATACGGGGACACGGCTAAAAAGAGTCCAAATTTCGGACACGGGTACGTGGGTACGTCTTTGTAACTTCAATTATTATTTTTTTCTAAAAACTTCATATGTAAAATTAATCAAAAATATTATTTGATTATTTCTATTTTGTCAAGTTTTGAAAAAATATTAATTTCAAAAAATGCTATTGAATTGTTCTAAAAAAATTATGTATGTTGATTTTATAATTATCTATCGATCATTTTGGTCAAAGAAAAATCATATTTTAAATTGTTTTAAATTTTTGTAACATTAATCATGATATTTTTTTTAAACAAAAATGATCTTGTCAATATCAAAAGAACCAAAAGCATAATTAATAAATAATAAACATCGTGTAATTTGCTCAACAATATGACTGCAAAATTCGAAGAAAAAAAAATCAACCCAACCAATAAAGCTGTAAGATTGTAAATATATTTAACCACAATTGATAAATTTATTTTAAATAAAAAAAGGCAATGTTTATAAAAAAAAAAACAATGTTTTGAAGCCCAAGCCCAACACTTTAAAAAAAAGAGGCCCAAGTTCAAACCCCCTCCTTCTTCTTCCTCCCTTCACTTCCAGCTCTGCAAATGGAGATTCAGCAGCCCCCTTTCTTCTTCTTCTTCGATTCTGGCAGCATTCCCCCTTCCTCTTCTTCTTTTTCCTCCTCTTCCTCTTCCTCTTCCTCTTCCTCCTCCCCTTCCTCTTGTCGCCCTTGGCCGTGTCCGGTTGACATTTGCAGCTTCCGATCCGTATTTCGTACCCGTGTCGTGTCGTGTCGACACGGGTATGCCGACCAAAATGAAGAGTCCGAGCAACATAGTGGGGCTCTATTGAATAGTAGCAATTGGACTTCTATGAGCAGTAGCAATGTAACAGCACATTTATTATTTTTGAATAAGAATAATACAAGTACTGATTAACTAGCGAACAGTTCCGAAATTTTTTTTGAACTGAAATAAAGGGCTAAACAAAGGGGGAAAAAAAACTGCTGCTATAACTGAGATGATTCTTCTTGGATGGGTGGTGGGAGGCGGTGGTGTATATACGGACATCATGTAAAGGGTTGGTGGATTTTTGGATTTGGGAAGATGTACACCAAAAGAGAACGAATTATTTTGATATCAAATTGACGTAGGATGCAATGAAACATTTATCTGAGAAGGGGAAAGGGAAGAGAAGAGAGAGGGGGAGAAGAGAGAAGAGGGAGATAATAGAGAGAAATTGGGGAGGATATCAATTTATTTCATTATCAAAGTATGCAAAAGACTCGTTTATATAGGGTTTCCAAAGATCATATTCTTAGTAGGAAATGCTAAAAAATCAAACCCTAATTATTTTTCATAACGTAAACATCAAAATTGGAAACTAAATATAATAATCTCTCTTTTAATGTTCCATCAAATTTACTTTTTATCTGGTCTAATTGTCCTGCATTTCAATTTAAGAAGTCATACTGTGCAAAGTGCTAACATGTTTATTGGAGACTTTTTAGTAATATTGAGTAAGACCACGTACAAAAAAACTAGTGATTTTGATTCTTTTGCCAGTTTCTTAATGGCTTTAACATGTACGGTCTGAAAAACAACTAGATTGGTTAATATAAAGTAGAGTCTTATTCTTGAGTTGCTGATAGGTTGTTCATTTGCCTTTCGATCTGTTCCAGCACAAATACTTCACCTCAGGAACCTAAGTCCTATTATTGAGGCATTTTGTTACACTTATTTGATTGCAGTTTTTAGAAAGACCTGGAGTGAGTTACTGCACACGGACAACCTATGATGACAATGCCATCACTAATGCTGTTGAAATATATACATCTAGAAGGTATCTGCTATTCCTCAACACTAGTGCATATGAGATTTTTTTTTGTGGGCTTTCCTGAGCTTTGTCTTCTCTTTTCAGCGGTGCACTTCGTTTTATAGCTTCAAACAATGATGGTGGTGTTCGAGATTTTGATATGGAAAAATTTCAACAATCCAAACATTTTCGTTTTCCTTGGCCAGTAAATGTGAGGCTCTCTCTCCTCCTGTGTCCCTCCATACCCAGTCTCTCTTTGAGGTCTCTTCTATCTTGGTCTTGACTTGCGTATTGACTATTGAGGGATGCTCTGTTTTATATTTTAGTTTGGTTAAACTTCTTGTTAAAAAAATAAAACTGTGAAGTAGCAAAATTTGTTAATATTGACATTGATATCCAACCAAGTCTTTGAAATAGAGATTGAAGTGAAATCTTATTTGGGAAAAAGTCACGTAGAATAAAACATTTGCCAGAAAGATCAATGAGTGAGGAAGTTCAGGACATAATTGAACTAAATAATGCCAGAAGATTTGTTGGTGGTGTCATGTCCCTACTTGCTCTCCATGTGCGCACCTGCTTTGTCTTTGCATAGCTTTTAATTTAGCTCCTGTTTGATTCTGATTAAAATCTAATCAAAGTCAACAATTAATTTTAACCACATTTTATGGGGTCCACAACTTTTTGACCGCACATTTTGTCAACTTTTATAAAAAATCTACTAAAGATCTGATTTTAATCTCCACCAAACAAGGGCTTAATATATTTGAAGAGTTTGTAGTTTTATGGTTGTCCAACAGAATATCTGTGCGCAAAGAGATTTCAAGTTCTTAAGCTTGATAGAGTATTATATTTAAAATTTCTTTAGTAGGGTTGACGGGTTGGGTTGGATGTACTTATGGTAGTCAATTATCTAATGACATATCGTCTGGATTTATCGTTTATGATGGCAGCATACATCTCTCAGTCCCGATGCTAAGCTCCTCGTAATTGTTGGAGATCACCCAGATAGTTTATTGGTGGATTCCAGGAGCGGAAAGGTATTCTTTTGTGGAGTATTTCCTTTTGTGGAAATTGAAAATACCAGAAGCATTCTTGTACTGCACTACATATTTTGATATCTATTTTGCAGACCGTTGCATCCTTGTGTGGGCATTTGGACTATTCATTTGCATCAGCATGGCACCCTGATGGCTTGACACTTGCTACGGGGAACCAGGATAAAACTTGCCGAATATGGGACATCAGAAACCTATCCAAGTCGGTCACTGCGTTGAAGGGAAACCTTGGAGCCATTCGATCCATCCGCTACACGTCTGATGGTAGATTCATGGCAATGGCAGAGCCTGCGGATTTTGTCCATGTTTTTGATGTTGAAAGTGGGTATGAGAAGGAGCAGGAAATTGATTTCTTCGGTGAGATTTCTGGCATGTCATTTAGTCCCGATACCGAAACTCTTTTTATTGGTGTGTGGGATCGCACATACAGTAGTCTCCTTGAATTTGGTCGACGTCGTGAGTACTCGTACCTTGACTCCATTATCTAAGTTGGCTGTGTAATCTGCAAAATAAGTGTGTGGACATGGCTCTTTTTCGTAAAACATTTTAAACTTGTAGTGCAGTCTACAGTAGAGGGTTTAGGCCTGGAGTCGTACATTGTGCAGTGAAGTAGAGGGATGTTTGTCTCACAGTTAGATGTGTGTCACAAAATTTAACTAGGGTGGGATGTACAGAAAGCCAAAATGTACCGGATGTGTGAATAATAAATAGAAGAGCTGTTGAACGCGAGGCATTTGCCCGGCTTGTGACCCAGTTTAGGTTTATCATTTTTTTTATGTATCTGGGAACCTTGTTCGATTCTCAATGTTGCTCATGACGTTTTGTTCATGATTTGACATGGTCACCGATACAGGAGTTTGTCTTTAGCACTATTCTGATGCTATTGTAATTTAGCAGTGAAATGTCTATTGGTGTGCAATTTTAACGAGCACTTGATTATTTTCCTAGTTTGGAGATTAATATAATTATACAAATGCTATAGCGTGAAATATGGAACTGCTAGAATTACTACTTGTATAAAAAGAACAATTGCTTTTTGTTGGAGGATTAATGTTTAATTTCAGAAACAAACGAGAGGTATTAATTTAAAACGTATTTGACATGACAATTAAAACAATTTAGCCCAGGTTTGATTTGGATAAAAAATAATTTTTTAGTAGATTTTGATAAAAGTTGATGAAATACGTGGATCAGAAGTTGCAGATCTCATGAAATGTGTGGTTGAAAATGAGTTTGAAAAAATAAAAAATAAGCTTTAAAAAATGGGCAAAACACTAATTATAGCTATAGAGCCAGTAAATGGATTATTCTCCTTCTCGTCGATCATGATAATCAATTCTTGTAGTGGCCACCACTTCGAAATCAGCTCCCCTTGTTTAGTGCATCATTTCAGAACAAGAGGGGTCCAAAGCCAAGGGAATAAGGATCGTTTGTTCCCCAAGATATGGGATGGAGTTTTATACTATTGGTTTGCACCTTTTTAAGAGAGCCAGAAAAAAATAGGCTCCGATCTTGTTCTTTACCGAAACCTTTCTAGTAATATCGAGTCTAGCTCCAAAAGGTGAATTTTTGAGGGGAGCCACGCATTTTAGTTCCTAATTCATCAGGTATGTTAAGATGATACATGTGATGGTGCAGTATGATCGAAACTTAATCATCTCATTTTAAAAATTTATTAATTTTCAATGAAGGTGTTTATGTGGAAATGTTTTGACTTTTTTTGACACTTTGACTATCATTATTTGAGTGATTCTAACTCTAATCCTATTTGTAGAATTGAATTTTAACTATGTAATTTGGAAATCAATTAGTGTGAGGAAATATTATATTTTTATAATATTTAATCATCATCATTTGAGTGATTCAATCTATGAGTTCAAGAATGATATTGTTGTTCTTCAACGTAATATTGAGATGAAATTATTTTGTTTAAATTGAAGGATCAAACCGAATAATTCTTTTTCTTGTTGATGGACCTTTGGATAGGTCAGATATCTTACCTTAAGATGGTTGATGGAAAATGGCAGGGTAAAAATCTTAGAATGAAACCCAAAAAAAAAAAAAAACACACTTGGAAAATGGAAAAAAAAAATATAGATACAAGAATTTTATTTATCATTCTTATTATCCTTTCCAAGAATCTCTGATCCAAAGAGGACCAATGACATGTAGCCAACTCAGTAAGCAAAATCTTTCTTTCATTCATCCACCTCTTCACAAAATTCATTTCTTTCTGATCAAATTATAAACCTCTGACCTTTGATTAATAATCTACCCAATATCCACCCTCTATTTTTTATCAACAAAATCCCCAATCCTTCTCCCACCACCACCACCATAATGGCCTCCACTTTGTTCTCCACACCAACTTTCCAAGGTCTCAGACCTCTCAACAAGCTCACTGACACCACCTTCCAAAAACCCATCTCCGCCAACTTCTGCCGCCCACTCACCGCCAAGGCCAGGCCGAGCAGCCTGAAAATCAAGGCTGAGCTCAACACTTCACTGGTCATCAGCTTAAGCACTGGACTCTCCCTTTTCTTGGGCAGGTTTGTGTTCTTCAACTTCCAGAGGGAAAACGTGGCCAAACAGGTGCCTGAACAGAATGGAGTTTCACACTTCGAAGCAGGTGATGTGAGGGCCAAGGAATATGTGAGCCTTCTAAAATCTAATGACCCTGTTGGATTCAACATCGTCGATGTACTGGCTTGGGGCTCCATTGGTCATATTGTGGCTTATTATATCCTAGCCACCTCTAGCAATGGCTATGATCCTAAGTTCTTTGGTTGAATCTCATCTCTTTTGTATTGATGTTGTTATGTATAGTGTTTCTGTGTTTCTTTGTAGGGGAAGACAGTACTGCTGCAATATTATTTGTACTTTTATGTTGATTCCAAACTTGCATTCATGTCCTTCTATAATGTATCTATTCAAGGCATCCAATTTGTTAATTAGAAATTATGAGCAAGAAATCAATTATTTTGTTAACTAAGCTAAAGAATAAAAAAAAAGGTAAACTTCTTCTCTGCAATGGTAGAGCTGAACATGTTACGACAACCACTACCAAGAACCTAATTATTTTTCTCTATAATTTAAATTTGGACGTGTTTGCTTGTTATTTGTTTCAGTTGATGGGAATTGGTAAAAAATGATAATTCTTATTAAAAAAAAAAAGATAATAATATTGAGAAATGCTAATTGGGAGGCAAAGTTTCAATTGTCAAATTCGAAAAATATTCGACTAATTTTATGGCATTCTTCAAAGTATGTTTTCTCCAAAAAAAAAATTAAAAAAAATTACTATGTTCAAAGATGTACACCTTCTATTCATCATGTGTCATGAGTTATTTCAGTAGAATTACTATCCCAAATCATTGGATAATTCCCTAAACTGTCGTAGTAGAAAGGTGCCAACTCTTCTATCGTCCTTAAAAGTTTTTGCGTTAGATTGGTTCGATGCAAATGACTGACTAGCTTCCTTGATTATCGTACAATCACTTAAGTCCCAAGCAATCCATGTCTTCTTATATCTTTTCTTTGTCTTTGTTTATGTCCATGTGGCCGCTTCCCTGGTTTACCTAACCTTAGTCTTCTTTGCTATACAAAATTTTTTAACCCCCACAATACTCTACACATCAATTCTTCTACATCTTTAGGAAACGATAGATGTAAGAAAGAAAGAAAAATTACGTTTTTGAATGGAAAAAAGTAATCGTAATTAAAATTTTAAAGAATAATAGGCGAAATAAGAAGCAGACAGTCAATTCCAATGTATCTAATGAGCCTATATTTCCGGCTCCCTTCTTCTTTGTACCATGACTTCCAGTCGATTATTCGTCAATTTTGGCGGGGGAGGCGATACAACTATGTAGAAGATACATTGGGTAAGGCAGAGTAAGTTTGCAAGCCAAAGGAGGCAGGTGGTCTAGGCTTTTCGGAAATTGTGAGTTATTTAGACCTTGTTATTAGGAAAATAATCTGATGTATATCTTCTATATAAAGAAGAGATATTCTATACCTTTTATATTCCTAGATTATAATTAGTATTGATAATTGATAGTTTAATTGTAGGAAATACAAACGTGCATATATACATCGATTCACATCAATGAATATTGTTCAGCCAAATTATCTTGTTTTCATGGTATCAGAGCAGGACTAAAATCCTAGTTCAATTATCGCTGCACTTTGATTTCTCGTGTAGCTTCCCTTCATTCTTTTCGCTGCTATGGCCAACAACCAAACTTCTCTTGAGAAAACCCCTTCCGCCTCTGACACACCCAAGACATAAATTTCAATCTCTTCTACAGATGTTTTGAAAATAGATCCCTTTAATCCCTATTTCACTCATCATTCAGATCATTCAGGTTTGGTGTTGGTTTCGAAACCTTTGAATGGAGACAACTATTCAGTATGGAAAAGGGCTATGACAATGGCTTTAAATTCCAAAAATAAGTTAGGCTTTGTCAATGGCAGAATCTCGACACCCTCAGAAGAAATTGATCACAATGGTTATACAACTTGGTCGCATTGCATTGATATGGTTCACTCATGGATCATCAATACTCTCAGTCTGGAAATCTCAGACAGTGTGATCTACTATGCTACGACACATGAAGTTTGGGAAGATCTTCATGAACGATTCTCTCAAAACAATGCACCACGCATCTTTGAAATTTAGCGAGATATTGCCTATCATAAACAAGAACAACTCTCAGTTTCCACATACTACACAAAGCTGAAAGGCTTATGGGATGAATTAGCTTCTTACAATGATGCATCATATGTAGCGCAACAAGATCAACAAAAATTGATGCAGTTTTTGATGGGATTGAATGAATCCTACAGTGTTGTTCGTGCACAAATCCTCTTGATGAACCCTCTTCCTTCTGTCCGTCAAGCATATTCTGCTGTTTCTCAGGAAGAAAAATAGAGACTTCTCGCCACACATACAACTCCGGACTCCAGTGGGAGTGCAGCCATGGCTGTAAGAAGCAGCAGCAGATCAAACCAGTTTATAGCAGCAGGAAAAATGGAACGATCGAAGCATCCTTATAATGGTTCACAAGAGAACCGACGTTATGATCAAGACAAGTGGCGCACAGGTTTGTTTCGAGGTAGACCACAGTACTCCTATTGTGGAGATATGGGACATTTCATTGAAAAATGCTATCAGCTGCATGGATATCCACCAGGCCACCCAAAGGCAAGATAGAACTCAAACCGCTTTAAGAATATTCTTGCAGCAAATCATGTCTCTGAAAGGTTACCTAAAGATGAATAAAGTGAAAAACCGATGGTGACTGGAATTTCGGAAGCACAATTTTAGCAACTCTTGTCCCTATTAAGTGACAAAAATATAGCTACTGGTTCAAAGGCTCATGCTGCCACATCAAAGCCAGGTTCGTCTAAGGTTGTCTCCTGCAATTGGATAATTGACAGCTGGGCGACAGACCACATATCTTCATCTCCTAAATTATTCTTGCATAACAATAAAAATTGTTCATTATCGCCAGTGTTATTACCTAGCGAAGAAAAGGCTAATATAGTTGCAAAAGGATCATTACCTCTGAATTCCATATATTACTTACGTGATGTGTTGTGTGTACCTACATTCAAAGATGATTTATTATCGGTTAGTCGTTTACAAGAAATTTGAACTGTTCAGTGACATTTTTCCCATATTGGTGTATTTTGCAGGATTTGGCTACGAGGAGGATGATTGGTTTGGGTAAGCAGCGTGATGGATTGTATTACTTGGTGGCGTCGGCAACAAAGAAACCCATAAACAGCCCACCTCCACCTTCAAACAATCAATCAATCTGTAACCTCACCACAACGTTCACTGATCTTTGGCATAACCGATTAGGACATTTATCTTCCTCTCGTTTAGGTTTTATCGCTAAATTTTTTTTGCATATTTCAATTCAAACCAATAAAGAATGTCATGTTTGTCCATGGTAAAGCAATGTCATTTGCCTTTTAGTTCTAGTTCCATTTCCTCTGTAAGCATTTGATATTATTCAGTGTGATATTTGGGGACATTATAAGCATTCTTCACTTTCTAGTGCCCATTATTTTCTTACTATTGTGAATGATTATACACGTTTTACTTGGATTTTTCTAATGAGACACAAAGATGAAGCACAATCGATTTTAAAACAATTCTTTAGCTATGTTTTCACTCAATTCACATCTTGCATTAAAAAAATTTCACAGTGATAATGGTGGTGAATTCCTTTCACTTCGATCCTTTTTTAATGAAAATGGTGTAATTTTTCAACATTCATGCGTTTACACACCCCAACAAAATGGGGTTGTGGAACGCAAACGTCGCCACATTTTGCAAGTGGCCCGCGCTTTAAAATTTCATGCGCATCTTCCTACTCAATTTTGGGGGAGTGTGCTATTACTGTAGTACATATCATTAATCGATTACCTACACACGTCCTCTTATTCAAAACTCATTTTGAGCGTCTATACTCCAAATCTCCTCCATTCCATCACCTTTGTGTTTTTGGATGTTTAGCTTATGCTACCAATGTTTATACTTCACACAAATTCGACTCTCGTGCCATGACTTGTATTTTCATAGGTTATCCTGTTGGCCAAAATGCTTACAAATTGTATAATCTATCCACTAAAAAGGTCTTCACAAGCAGGGATGTTGTTTTTCATGAAACTGTTTTTCCATATGAGATGACAAAATATGCATCTGTCAACCTACATGATCCAACACGGTAGCCTAACCCCTCTTTGGTCCATTCCCACGGCCCAATCCTTTTTTCAGTACATGATCCAACACCTTCCATTGACCTCACTTTTCCCACACCAGACCTCATAGCTATTTTCTCTTCTTTCCAATCCACTGCACCAGAACCGATTGCCATCTCTCCTACCACACCGACACCACCAGACCCACTCATACAACCATCGCCCTCTACCAATAACTCCGACCTCCAAGCATCATCATCTCCGGCGGGTATTCCACTGGACACCCTTCCTATGGACTCACCCGATTTGACTACGATCTTCCTTGAACCTAAGCCTCTTCATCGCTCCGCCATCCTCATAATCCATTTGCGAAATTGCAAGATTATGTATGCTCTCACATCACCCACGCTTGCTCTGCCCAATCAAAATCCTTGCTTCCAGGTCCAACTAAAGGTATTCGTTATCCCTTGGCTAACTATGTTTCATATCATTGTTATAAGCATGCCCATTGCTCTTTTATTACTCAAATCAGTCAAGTTACTGAGCCCAGATCTTATTTCAATGCCGCTGTTCATCCTGAGTAGCAGGAGGCGATGCGGTCCAAATTGCAGGCTCTTCAGGACAATGGTACCTGGTCTCTTACATCCCATCCGACAGGGAAGACGCCGATAGGTTGTTGGTGGGTCTATAAGGTTAAACATCGCTCTAATGGATCAATTGAGAGATACAGAGCACATTTAGTTGCTAAGGGGTTCACACAATTGGAGGGTGTCGATTATCAGGATACATTCTCTCCCACTGCCAAAATCATCACCGTTCGTTGTCTCCTTACCCTAGCCACAGCTCGTGGGTGGTCTCTTCACCACTTGGATGTCAATAAAGCTTTCCTTCACGGCGATCTTCATGAAGAAATTTACATGTCTCCACCGCCTGGGCTTCGGAGACAGGGGGAGGAAAACTTAGTGTTTCGGCTTCATAAGTCACTCTATGGTTTGAAGCAAGCATCTGGGCAGTGGTTCTCCAAATTCTTAGAAGTTATTCGAACTGCAGGATATGTTCAATCTCGACCTGACTACTCATTATTCAATAGAACACAAGACAAGTCTTTCACTGCTGTCTTGATATATGTTGATGATATTTTGATTACTGGAATGATTATGTGAGTATTGCTGCAATTAAGAAATTCCTTCATAGTCAATTTCGTCTTAAGGATCTTGGTGATTTGAAATATTTCCTTGGCATTGAGGTGTCTTCTTCTAAGAATAGGATTTTTATCTCTCAACGCAAGTATGCTTTGGAAATCATTGAAGATGAGGGATTGTTAGGTGCGGTACCTATTGATACTCCTATGGAACGAGGTTTGAAGCTGTCTGATAAAAGTGATTTACTCAAGGATCCGAGTCGTTATAGGAGGTTGGTTGGTAGATTGATATATCTTACTATCTCAAGGCCAGATATTATGTATTCTGTACATGTCTTAAGCAGGTCTATGCATCAGCCTCATGAGCTTCATATGGAGGCAGCACTCTGTGTTGTGTGTTATCTTAAGAATGCACCAGGCCAATGATTGTTCTTCTCTTCAAATAATGATTTCAGGTTGCGAACCTATTCTACCACAGGCTATCGTGTCTTCCTTGGCTCCTCATTGATCTCATGGAGATCGAAACGTCAGAAAACAGTGTCACTTTCTTCAGCTGAAGCAGATATCGTGCTATGATAGGAGATTGCTGTGAGTTAACTTGGCTGAGATATCTTCTCAGAGATTTGGAAGTATTACCTCGAGAACCTGCATTGTTATATTGCGACAACAAAGTTGTCTTACATATTGCAGCAAACCCAATTTTCATAAGTGGACCAGACACATTGAAATGGATTGTCACTACATCCAAGATAAGACTCCGTTCTTCGTCTTCTTCGAGAATTGATGCAGGATCAAGGGCGTTTAGGCTTGCTTTAGGAGTGAGTAAATTCAAGATGGTTCCGTTGTTACAAGGTTCGTGAGTTCTGCAAGTTGAAAGAATGGCTCCTGCTGAATCAGCCGAGAGTTCAAGAGATGAGGATGAGGATCCGGATTAACTTCTTGAAGAGGGAATAGCAGGCGCAAGGGCGTTTAGGCTTGCTTTAGGAGTGAGTAAATTCAAGATGGTTCCGTTGTTACAAGGTTCGTGAGTTCTGCACATCAATTGGTAGATGTCTTGCTAAAGCCTTAGGAAAAGAAGTTTTTGTTCCTACGATTCGCAAGTTAGGAGTATAGGGAGTGTTAGGAAAATAATCTGATGTATATCTTCTATATAAAGAAGAGATATTCTGTACCTTTTATATTCTTAGATTATAGTTAGTATTGATAATTGATAGCTTAATTGTAGGAAATACAAACGTGTAGGACAAGTTCACCTTCTGTATATATACATCGATTTGCATCAATGAATATTACTTAGCCAAATTATCTTGTTTTCACTTGTTTGGTAGAGATTTTTTTTTCAGGGTAGATTTTGTGAATATTACAGAGGTACCCTCAATTAAAAAAAAAACACAGAAACTTGCCTGTGAGAAAAAAATAAATATTTATTTCCCAAGTTTTGATATTATACTTGTTTTTCTTATTTTAACTTTAAACAAGAAACATATTTCTAGCTTAAAGAAAGCGTTGTCTCCTTTTCCTTTTTTTGTACAAATAATTACATTATTAAATTTGTGATTTTCTGAAAATAAAGGAAGAAGATTGATCTAATGTTTTGACTAAAAAGAAGAAGAGGAAAGGGGAAAAAAAAAACTATGTTGTTCCTTATTAAATGTCATTCTTTCTTCTATTAACAAGAATAATTTATATTTAGCTCTTGTTCGGTGGAAATTAGAATCAAATTTGCAGTAGATTTTGATAAAAGTAAATGTATAGTTGAAAAGTTATTGATCATATGAAATGTGGTTAAAATTACTTATTAACTTTAATTTTGATAAAAATCTATATTATACTTTCTATCAAACAAGGGCATAATATGGTATGGTGGTAATGAGTATAAACCATTCGAATGTTATCATAGAAATTTAACTATATTTAACTATTTATTTCAATAAAAAAAATGTTTGCACAAATTTAAATAAAAAATATTAAAAATAAGAAAAAATAGAAATAAGATTAGTTAAATTATTCAAATCACATTATAAATAAAAATATATTAAAAGTTAAAATAAAAAATAAATAATTTTACTTGTAGAAAAAGAAGTTTTATGGGATGTTTCTATAATTTTTAATTGGAAGAATAGCAGTTGCGGTCTCTAATCTATAATCTTACTGTTGTAGATGGAGGACATGTAAATTGAATTACCCAAAAAAATGTTTCCTCATTTTGACCATTGAAGTGAAGGGCAAATTGGTCAAAATAAGGAAACATTTTTGAGTCAACTAACGGATGGATGGACAGATTCCATCAGCGTGTCCTCCATCTGCAACGGTAAGTAAGGGGCCGTTCTCTTTGACGTTTTCGGATCGTTTTCTGTTTTCGAATTTCTAAAACAGTGAAAACATGTTCACTTTTCTATTTTCAAAAACGCGTTTTTGAAAACGAAAAATTTTTTGTACACAAAACACAAAACGAGAAAAACGTTGTTTTGGACGTTTTCAAGCCAATTCCACGAAAACACCAAAACACGGGAAACACCTAAAAAATGCTACTGTTCCTTCTTCAGCCAAACCCTCCAAACTCCGGTCACTCTTTCCAACCGAGCAGCCACTTTCCAACCCTCCAAACTCTGGTCATCCTCCACCACCACCACCATCGGATTTGCATATCATTGTGAAGCCCTCGATCTCTTCTTCAATAACCACACAAACCACTACCCAAACATATACCAAAATCAATCAAAAATCATCCTCCAAAATTGAATTGGCCATAACTGCTTCTGCCGAAATCTCCAGAAATCGCCACCAGAAATACCCCAGAAATCGCCACCACCGCCCTCCAAAATCGTCACCAGAAATACACCTACTGCCACAGCCAAAGCCAAAGCCAAAATCGCCACTAGAAAAAACCACCATCGCCCAGCCAAAATGGCGAACCAACCATCACAAAATCGCACTGGAATCGCGACCCAACTACAGCCACCGCCTGCACCAACCACCGCCAAGTCGCGACGCAACCATCGCCGCAACCCAACCAACCACCGCATCAAAGAACGAAAAAAATAAAGATGAAGAGGGAGATCGCAGGGAGCGTCTAAACCCAAACCACCACCGCCGTTCACATGGATCGCCGTTCGCAGGATCGCCGTTCGCAGGAAGAGAGAGAGAGGCGACAACCAAAATGAAATGGAAATGGAGAGAGAGAACACGTTTTGGTTTTTTTATTTTCGAAAACAATTTTTCAAAATGTCAAAAAGAACACATTTTTAACAATCTCAAAATAGACACTCAAAACACAAAACACAAAATGAATTCAAAACTCAAAATACAAAACTGAAACATAAAGAGAACGGCCCCTAAGGCTTTGGGATCTCAACTTTAGATAATTTTTGCTAAGTTTTGAAAGGTTAAGGACTGCAACTGCTATTCTCCAATTATTAATTACTTGAACGGTATAAAGGGACACAATTCTCAAGCCAGTCCTCTCCCTGCACCTGCCCACCACCCAATCCCACCCTAATACTTCGATTAAAACAAATACGCAATTTCTTTCTCCTCTTTGGAGGGTCCATTATTTTCTTGGATTGAGGAAAATCCATTTCAAATTATAATTACAGTCTAATACGGAGTATTATGCTGTAGTATCATAATTTTTGTTTCCCATAAAATGCCGCCCACTGAAAACCCCACCACGAATTCTCATTCTAATTCCAAATCAGAAGCTGAGTATGAAGAGATTGTTCAAAACTCAGATGTTTTCTCGCAAAAGCTTCAGGACTTTCACGTTCTCCATGGCACCAAATTTAGGTTTATTGGGATTCTGCTCATATTATTTGTCCGTTCGTTTTCGTTTTCTTGTGGGTGTTTTTCTTTTTGACTTTATTCTGGGTTCTCGATATTAAGATTATGTTTTTTTTTTCCCCTTTTCGGTTGCGAAATGTATTAACTATTATCTGCATTTGCATGTTAATTGGCGATTGTTGTTAAAATTGTTCATTTTGTTGCTTGTGATGCTTCCGTGTTAATATTTGTTTTTTTATTAAATATTTGCTATTCAGTTTGTTTCTTTAGTGTGATATATATATATATATATTTTTTTTGAATAAAAACCCATATATTCCAAACATCAGTTTGTTTCTTTAGTGTGATATATATATATATATATATATTTTTTTTTTTTCGCATGACTGTGTCTGGAGCAATAAGAAAGAGCTTCTATGTTGAGGGAAAAAAAAGTGAGATCTTTGAGAGAAAGTTGGGAGAAATAACCGTTGTTTAATGTTAGAGAAATTCATATACAACTAAGTTCCTTATTTCTGCAACAAATTTAGTTTATTGATCACTAGAAATTTCTTTATACTACTATTATTTTCTGATATAATTATGACCTTGTTACTGTTCAGATTCATGTGAATTGTTACTGTTAGGCAACCGTGCTAAAGAATTTGTTGTTTGGGAGTGAGATTTTTTTCTATTTGCAGTTGTCTTCTTTTTTTTTTTTTTTTTTGTGGCTTTAGTTNTTTTTTTTTTTTTTTTGTGGTTACTATATTAGTATTAACATTAGTTTGGAGGATATATGTATTTTCCTTGTTGATAGTGTGAAATCAGAAAATGGAATAAATTACTGACCTTGAAACACGAGTTTATGTTGCAATGGTGATAAAAAGTGATATGCCAAGCATTTTTGACTTCGTGGATAGGAAATCTATGATTTAATGGGAGCTGGTTCATGAAGTGTCTGAATTATTAGATTTGGAACTGAGGAATATAACGGAATTCTACATGTTACTTGTTCAAATATCCCAATAGAGGAATGATGGTGGACATGATTTTAGATTTTTCTATCGTTCTTCTTTATTAGTTAATAATCTCATCAGCATGTTTTAGTCCCTTGTACCTTACCTGTTTATGCTATGAATGGTTGACCTACATAACTGCTTCGACATGAATTGGAAAAGATCATAAACCTATAAGATGATTAACCAATTACTTTAATCCCTTCTTTGAGAAGTTCATCATTTACCATGTAGGATCCCCACTCTGGGAGGAAATCCTTTAGACCTACATCAGCTTTTTGTGGAGGTGACCTCTCGAGGTGGCATTGAAAAGGTATGCCTTTTATTTCTTTCTGTATACATAATGTGGCCCTGTAGTTTATACATTACTTGAAAGGATGCTTGTACCTAACATATGATCTGCTAGTTATTGCTCAGCCTGCTAGCCAATTTAAAGTATGAAGCCTGCAAGATATTTTCAATACATAGCTAACTTAGAGTATAAATCATCTGTTCAGGGAAAAAGTGCAAGAGAGAATTATTTTCTCTTCAAAAAGTGAAGACTAAGGTTTCTTTTTGTTTCTAATTTTTTTTTTGTTGGAAAGTGTAACACCACAAATCTAGATACCCTATTTTTGGAAGTATTATCATTACCTTGTCTTAAAATCATAATTGAAGAAAAGTGATTAGATTTTTCTTTTTCACAATAAACATTAATGACTTTCATTTATGAAAAGAATTTGTAGAAAATTTTTATACTTAACAAAACATAAGATAATTAAATTAAATGTTAACTTTATTTCAAAATAAAGTTAATATATACATGTGTTAGTACTAAGCATGTCTCACCACTAGTAGTTGTCTCAAATCATCTTGCCTTTATTATCTAAAAAATTAGGAGGAATAATACGGAATAAGTTAATATCCAGTAACCAAATGTCACGCACATGATACATGTTTATAATATGCATTTATTTACACATATTTGATTTTGAAATTATGTTTCCCTTTTCTTTTATCTTTCATTAAAAATATTAACATTGTGTGCTCACTATAGTGTATCGTCTATCCAATCAAAATGGTCCCGCAAAACGGTTAATAAATTTGAACATCATTCAACGTTATTATTAGTCGGATGCGTCAGTTCCACACCCTATTTCTCACTCACACCTTTCATGGCACTATACCTCTTAAAAATTCGGCTTACATATTGTTTTTGAAAATATTATTTGTCACATTATCATTTAGAAACTTTTCATTTCTTGAAACTTTACTTCATGCATGCTAATGGATGCATTGACATGCATATAACATGAGATGTATTTTAAATTAGATATGGCAAATATTATCTAAAACTATAAAAGCATGTTCCTAAGACGTAAAAATAAATCTTGAACAAGTAAAAGCAAATAATCCTATTTTAGATTAACTGTAGAAACAATTTCGTAAAAAATTTCATTTCCAGGTGTAATCAATGTGTTAAGAGTCAATTATGTAATTTAAAAACAACATGGTATAGAAATTAATATAAATTTTTTAGGTCAACATTGTACCTTTAAATTGACAATGAGCATACTTTAAACTTTAAAAAACAAAGTAAAAACGTTTCTAATTTCATGAAAATAGCTTTGTACTGATGTGAAGTGTTGGTGAAACGGAGGAGAGAATGTGACATGTATATGGAGATGGAAAAAATGAAGAATAATCATAAGAGTTGTTTAAAGATAAAAGATATTAAGGGAAAATGAGTTTTCATTTATTCATTGTTGACCACTATAAATATGTGAGCATGTAAGGGAAATTAAGGGGATAAAAAAGGCTCAATCATGTGCATAGGCAAAATTCCATATGATTTCCAAAATTAACTCTAAAGTTTAATGAAAGTTTCAAGCACCAATCTAAGGAAAAGGGCCATGATTCTTCCAATACAATATGGCAATCAAGTTTTTATCTTTCTTTCTTTTCTTTTCTATTTTATTTTGTAGTACGTGAGATTTGGGGGGCAAAGAATGCAAAAAATTCTGGAATTAGTTTAGAAAAAAATGGTCCAAGCTTACCAAAATTATTTAATGCAAACTCAATACACTTATTATATTAAGACAAACTTTCCTCTCATATTTAATTATTATTTGCCTTCCAAAATCATCCGGACAATGGAATAATTATGTCTGGATAATTAAAAACACATGCATAATTCAGCATCCAGTAAGTAAAAATAATTATGCTTATAAATATTTAATCAATTAAGATACTCCTTGAAAATTAGCAAGCTATTTATCACTTTTATTTTTCCCAAAAATATTATAAGCACATAAGCTCAGAGTCAACTACCATTAGTTATGAAATAAAAAGCATATTGCAATAATAACATTAATATTGTGTATGTATATTAATATAGGGCATGAATTCATCACAATGCAATAACTACTTATAACTTTGAGGGGTTGCTCAATTGGTCAAGACCTTGGGTTTGCTCCTCAATGGTTACCAGTTCGAGTCTCCTCAAGGCCATTGAAGTGAGTACCCGGCCCTAAACTTCAGAACCTCGTGGGATTAGTCGAGGTGCGCGCAAGTTGGCTTAGACATCCATGGTTATAAAAAAAAAAATGCAATAACTACTTATCAATTGGGCACTTTACGTCATCAGAGCATCTCTGAACCATCCATTGTAATAATCTTAGTTTATAGCAACTTTGTACTTAGACAATCAAATTAAAACGTAAATAAATTCACGACATACTTAAAGAACATAAATATCGCATTAATTATATGGAACCCTAGATAGTGTGGTGTTAAACTAAGAATGTGAAAATTTGATGGATTAGGAAAATCATGTACTGGAAAATAGAGAATATGAATTTTTGGAATCTTTCAGGCTTGCACAAGTTTTATCTTAGACGCAATTTTGTGATCTACTCTATTTAGATATTTAGCCCATTTCCTGAAACAGCTGGACATTACTTTGACTTCTTTGCATTTCCCTAGACTCATAGTATGTATTCTAAATTACCATTTTGACTTGACTGAGGTTCCTGAGATGTAGACATCATAATCCTTGTTTTTCTTTTGTTTTGGGTTTTGAGGCTGCCAAAGTGTGATAACTGAACGATGAAGCTTTGATCAAAGAGTATGGGTCTCTAGTATTCAGTTAAAAGGATCGAAGGGACAGCCCACGTCGATATTGTCATTGAACTTACATTTTTATCAGCACAGATTTATAGTTATACTATGAAAAACATGTCAAAAACAAAAAGGTTAAACTGATCTGCATAATCTTATTTATTAGCTTTATGTTGTGTTAATTATGTTTCTTCTTCTTATGTAGTTTAAGTTCAGTTAATCAGCATTCAGCTGGAAAAATGCATAATTTAATTTGATTTCACATTGATGTGCATCTTTTTCCTCATAGTTTCCACCTCTTATGTAACTCATTACAGGTTATTAGAGATCGTAGATGGAAGGAAGTTACTGGGGCCTTCGATTTCCCTTCTTCTATAACAAGTGCATCATTTGTTTTGCGGAAATACTATCTGTCATTGCTTTATCACTTCGAACAGGTCTATTATTTTCGGAAAGAAGGATCGTCTATCTCAGTGGCTGGTATATTCACAACACAATTTCGATTACAATGGTTTGAAGATTTTCCGTAGTTCAAATAAAAATGATTCCGCTATCTGTTAAATAGATCAGGCAGGCAGGATTCTCAATGGATCAACATCGCCACATGCTTCTCGTGATGGTGCGACATCATATCAACGTTCAGGTGAGGTCCCATTGCACTTTTTTTTTCTTTGCATGTGGTTTTTGTTGTACATTTTTCATTAATAACTGCCCACAATGTGTTGTTTAGATGCTTTGCATGCATTCAAGTCTTCCACAATTTATTATTGTCAATGTATTGTGCAGTTAGCCCTAACCTGGAGGACGGCAGCTTAGTCACTGGAACAATTGATGCCAAATTTGATTTTGGATACTTAATTACTGTGTGCTCGGACTCTGGGAATTTGCAAGGTGTCCTATATCATAATCCTGTGGAACCAAATGTATTCCATAGTCATACTTCTTCTGCCGACCCCGCTCAAAGTATCCGGAAAAGGCAGCATCTGGCATTTAAGGACCCAGCTCACCCCAAACCAAATAGAAGTGGTTATAATTTTTTTTTTGCCGAGCATTATGGTAGGCTGAAACCTTTGTACCATGGGCAAGAAAGAGATATCAGCAAAAAAATTGGGGAGTTGTGGAATGGACTCACTGAAGCTGAAAAACAGGTACCATATATTCTATATATATTGTGAAATTTCTTATCTGTTCTTGGTAAGGGTATAACACAGCTATTAACAGTTGGTGATATAAATTCTTGATGCAAGTTTCTTCATTGACATATATGTTGTGTTAACGTATGTATAACATATTTCTCCTTATAATGAGAGTAATAGACTCCAAGTAAACAAGTTAGAAGAGAGTGGTAGACCAAAATTAACATGGTTTGTCGAAGGTTGTGAAAGATTTAATTGTGTTGGATCTTCTGGTGGATGTAGCCGTGAACCGAATGGAATGGCAAAAATTGATTTATATGATGGAGCCAAATTTATCGGGAATAAGACCTAGCCATATTTGTTATCTTACTCTACTTATTTTAAGCTAGGAAATTTTCATTTTAATAATTTGGCAACTTTCAGGTTTTGTTTGAAATTTTCAGAATAAATAGGATGATTATTGAATAACTTAGAAAATTGATTTGACATAGTCAATGATAATGAAATTTCTCTTACAATTTTCTCCTAATTCTCCAACTTCACCTCTCCCCGTTCTTGTCTCTTTGTGTTTCATGCTCCGCATCAGTAACTTATTTCATTGGGGAGGGGTCACAAATTTTATTGAAATATGGGGCCTCATAAGTAAATGCTGCATGATAGATATTTAAATTGTTGCCCTCGAACAATTCAAAGTTTCTTTAATAGTGTGCATTTTGATTTTCCCCCCAAACAACCCCTCACTCTACTCCCACCCTCAAAACTCTCTGCTTTTAGGTTGAGTTTGGCCTCAATAGGTCATTTTTACAAGCCTTGACATGTTTTGTCTATAATGCACATACACGTGTGTCCGACACGTCGACACGCGATTTTAAAAAAGTACTAATATGACACATCAGCGACATGTTGATTAAATTTTTAAAATTCTTCATTTATATAGTATAAATTTGATTTTATCCTTGTTATTAATTTTTCTAGTTGAAATATCTTAAATGGGTACCTATTTGTTATTTATAACTTTGAATTAAAAATATATAATATTTCAGATAAAGAAAGAAAAATGATTATGGTAAAGTGTCCAAGGAGTGTCGGTATCCGATACTGATACGCTACCCTAATTGAAGTATCCGTGCAACTGAGTGTTTTGTTATGTATGATCCTTACCACTTGTGAAACGATGCATATCTTATCGAGTGATTCTTCGTTACATTTTTTACTACCTTTTTTTTGTTCCTTTGGAGTTCAAAACACGTTCAATCTGGGTTGTCAGTTGTCGTCTTCTATATGTGGCTATTAGATTTGCAAGCAATTTTTCTGAATTTGTTGAATTCTAATCCTAATGATGAATCGTTCTGGGAAATCACATTTCCAACTTCTTTTTCATCAAAGCAAAAAGGGCTGTTGATGCATTGTATAATGCTCAGTGCTCCTGTGCCAGCTATTAATTTCTGTCTCGCCCTTCCTCTTTTCCGTTTGTTGAGTGCAAGTGGCTGTGGATGCATGGTACATCATTTAGCTTTAGCATTTTTTTATGATTGAACTAAAATTATGTTGATTGTGGCAGAATTTGCTGATTGATTTCTTCTTGTCTATAGAACGTTGTTATTTTATCCGAAAATGGAAAAGATCAAGTCCCTGTCTATTTGGCACAAAACTTTGTAGAACAAATGTTTATGCGACAGAAACTTCGTATCTTTCTCGTTAATTACAACAAGCTTCAATGAATTGTACGGAAAATAATGAAAAGTGACTTGCATTCTCATTTATATTTTCTTGCCAAGTATAGCTCAAGAATTACAGCACTAGATTGAAGTAACTTACAGTCTATGCTATCTACAATCAAAGGAAACAGAATTACAGCTCGCGCTTTCTTTTGGTGCTATTCAGGTTTATCAGGAAAAAGGGTTGAGAGATAAGGAAAGATACAAAGCTGAGATGTTGGAGTACAAATCTTCAGGTCACCATTTTCAAGCTCAATAGGTTTCACCATGAAAGCAATACGCTACCTGGCAGTTGCTTCCCATCAAAATGTGGTGTCCGTCTTTAATTTTAGTCTATGTTTTGGTTCTCTTTATTCTCTTTATCTATAGAAAAAGATTTTTTGCAAAATGTCGCCCTTTAACTTTTCCTCTTTATGAGGGAAAAAATCCCCAGGGGCATATGATGCGGCTAGGAAGGGGATAATTTTTGTGAAGTATCTTGAAAGTGTTTGTGTTTGCATATGCTACATTTTAAACTTTCATTCGCTGTATGCATGTGTTTAATGTAGCTTCACTTCTTTGTGTTCTAGTGGAAGCTTTACCCACATATTGTCGGGCTTTAAAGAGGTCAATTAGTTTTCAGGTTATCGTTACTGGTATTCTTAAGGTGTAAGTTGTAGCACGCGTGTTTGTAAATCAGTTATTCAAGTTACAGTGCCCAGATATTGGCATGGATGGTTTACTGGAGATTTTCAGAACTATGGCCGAAATTTGTCGACTTGGAGAAATTTCACTTGCGGAATTAGATGAAGACCAAGTACAGTAAGCGTGTGATTTATGAAAAATTATCAACCTGACATCAGTTCTAAGGTTCTAGTCAATGGTATGTTGTCATGTTTCACATATTTGTCAAGTCAATGACCGTGACCAATGGTTAGTCAAAGACCAAAAACTTGTCGTGTTAAAAGGTGTGGCTTCAAATTGAATTTGTGAAGGGTAGAGAGAGACTTTTAGTGTCCCCTTTAGCCAAGAAGTGGACCCTCATAATTAGTAGTCAATAGACTTTTCTCTCACGCATTTTTTGTTCATAGTTTGATATTTTGGTGTCCTAGGCTTAAGTACCAATACATCCCAAACTTGGTGGTTAAAATCTATAGTAGTGACGATATTGTAGGAGAGGTTTTAAGAAAAAATAGCTTGACGCAGGATGATAAAAAGCTTAACACCTCTTATTCTTATTCTTTTTCAATAGAAAAAAAAATGAAAAATAAACAAATCCTCTTATTCAAAACTCCAATTATGACGTCCTTCTCTCCCACTAAATACCTCGATGCAGCTAGAAGTTAACTTTGGTGCCAATGACTTGCTGGTTTGTGACTTTTATGGTAAGGTGTAGTGTAGAGTAGAGGTGTCAAGACGGACGGGCCGGTCATGACCCGTGAGAATCGGCCCGTGAAAACCGGGACCGCGGGCCGACCCGTGCGGGCGGTTCACGGGCCAAAGAG